AAATTGCACACATGCAAAGAGATATAAGAATAAAGCAAAAGTGAGGGAGTTTATCCAGTTTTGTTGTTTTCCTACCAAATGGAAGAGTAGAAAGTAGTACATCCAGCAATGGTGGAAACAGCAGACTGGACTGACACTGAAGAGTTTCGCGGTTCACTCGATTTGCCTCACTGAGCATCCGCGACAAACACATTAAACTGAATGAAACTAAAGAAATCTTCCTGGGACTTATTGCTCAAACTATAACACACTTTACCTTAAAGTTTGACGACCTTACGTTCGTATTAAAAGGTATGTGAGACAATTCCCAAAAAAGTGCCGCCCAGCACGGACAAGACGTGACATATTTCTAACACCCTACGTGTCTAACGTGAGGAGCTGACGTACCCTCCCAGCCTGCTGGACTGCACCGCTTCTCCTTCACTCCGCCACAAACACTAGCTACTTCACCCTCGGTTGAGACTACGACTGTACACCGATTGTAACCCAGAGCGGTAAGGCAACATTAGATATCTGCAGTTTAATGTCCCCCCAAAAAACAGCTACCGGCTGGCTTGAATTGTGCGAGCCGGGTGGTGGTACACATGGGGGCTCTTGCTAATGCGTGACAGCGCAGGGCACCGGTGTTTGGCTGTTTTTCAACCGTTAGCGAGCCACAGAGCCAGGTAATAATCGTTAGCTTAGCCCCCGACACCATACAAAAGCCAAGCGTTGCTCATAAATGCTTCTCTTCTCGGATAAAAAAAGCACACACCTTGCTAGCAAGCACCGGGCGGATATCGTAAAACGGCCACACTTTCATCCGACAGTCGTCCGAAAAGCAACACGGCAGTAAGTTAAAAAAATACATAAAAAATACAAGAACTTTCAGGCCTGGCTCGACTGTTTTGCTCTCAGTAATATGCGGCAATGGCCAGAGAGTACTAAGGTTAACTGTTAGCCTTGTCAGTGGAGAAAGCTTTTATTAAATGTTTGCGCGGATATTGGCGATTTTTTAATAGGCCGGATGTAAGTAATATGTGTGAATTATCATAAAGAAGTGTTACATTTAATTCGAGATTTGCCAATAACGAGTAAATATAAAAATAGCTTTTTTTCAAAGGGAGTCTGGTTACACGGGCTTGTTAAACGCCGAAGCAGCCTCTCATTCTGGCATTTAAGTGGCATTGCTAAACGAGTAGCATTTCCTTTCGATTTATTCTTCACGTCCACCTTAAATAGCCCGTGAATCTTTGTCCTTAAGGCTGGATTGTGAGTGGCAATGAGACATTTTCTCAGTCGATGGGAGCACAGAAAAGTCACACGCTAATTAATCAAGCTCAAATATTAATGGGTGACATTTAACGTTGCGCAGTTGCCTTACCACACACCCATGCCAAGGTACAATCTCTGGCGAGCATACATGGGTTTAATGTCGTGTTAAGAGACAAGTAAATGTACACTAAACGCCACTCACTTCAAGTGAATGAGTCATTTATTAATTCTCATACAATTTACTGGTAAATATAAATAGAAGTTAATGGAAATGCAGTTTAGTTGACATGCTGTCAAGTGGTTTGTTTGAGTCAAGATCAGTTTATTTGTCTTATCTGATCAGAAGTTTTGATTCACTCGTAAACTTAGATATTAACTTGTATCCCCAGAGTTGCGAAAGCATAAAACAAACATAGAAAATTGCTTAACTTAGCTCTTTAGTGTGGGCAATGGCAGTGTGGTAAGTTGTGGCCTGGCCTATTTGTGACCAGCTTTTAGAGAGGCAAAAACAAGCGTTGCTAACTTGAGATAGCCTAAATTAAGCTATGTTCACACTGCAAGTCAATTCCGATTTTTTTAACCATATGTGACACATATCTGATTTTTTTCATGTAAGTGTGAACAGTGCAATTCCTATTTTCTCAAATCCGACCCAGGCCTCTTTTGTAAAAATCGGATATGTATCCGATGTGACTGCAGTGTGGACACTCAGGTCGCATTCATCCGATCTATACGTCATCAATATGCGACAAGCGTCACCATTGTTCGGCAACTCAAACAGGCGCGGAAAGCAATTTGTGCTTTGTTCGCATGCGGGTCACTTCACGGACGCATTCCGTTCACATTAGATGCCGCATTCGTTGTTTTAATGTGAACGACCACACAAAAAGATCAGATTTAACAAAAAATCCGATCTTTTTGTGCATCATAGCCTGCAGTGTGAACGTAGCCTTAGTCGGTGATAGTTGACTAGAAGTCGAGTTGTTCATTTCGAAGTGGAAACTAGCATTTTGTAATCTCGAAAGATAGGTTAACCGAATGAATAAGGTATGGATGCATATGTTAAAGGTATAACACGGTCAGATTCTGGATTAAAATGCTCCCTTGCGCTGAAGCGACGGTGGCCTTGAAGGACAAAAAGGTCCTGTGATACATGCAGAGTCTGGTCCTCTAATTTAAACACTCGAATTGGTGTTTTATATTTTATTTCTACCAAGCATTTTCTTCTAATGCTGCCAAATACTACAAATTGTGCGTTTAGGAGTTATATAGCTGTCAGAAAATGAGCATTAGAGTGTCAGCATTTGTGACTGATGGACTCGCCACCTTCAGTAATCAGCTGTTACATAATATTTGAAGATATGTATTGAAGATGCAATGTGGTTTTGAATGGAGATAATGTTTTTCTTGCATATTTCTGGTAAGCCATTTTGACATTGACCTGTCTGCCATAACTCAAGGTAGTGGATAGTGGTTAAGCGCCACAAGTCAAAATCACAGTTGCCTCATTTAATCAATAACCCATGCCCACTCACATTCTGATAAACCTACCCAGGCATAACATGGGCAGGAATAGCAGTGAAAGCTCATGAGTTGTTGCCGCTGAGACTGAGCGTCATGACGGTATCGTTTTCATTAAGGTGGGTGGAGAGCTGACGCTGGATCAGTTCCCCGGGCTGTCGCTGTTTTAGAAAGTGGAGATGATGCGCTCATCTTTGCAGAGCTGAAAACTGCTGTCTAGCGGTGCCGAACACATCCTTAACAAATAAAGCGGCCATTGGCTGGCCTGGCTCTCTTATTATCGGCATCAGCCGTTGAAAAACCAATATCACTCAAGCGCTAACACAAACTGTTCACTGTTGGCAGAGGTGCAGTAGAGGAAGTGGCATCACTACATTCTCGAATGCCCTCTTGTGACTGTCTCGACTCCTCCAAGGCTTAGAATAAATGCTAGTAATTGTTTGCTTAAACTGTTTCACCTGCAGCTCCACAGGCCGCTGTCCCCGCTGCTCTGTTGACCATTAATTACGCAGGTTATGGCGTGTTTGGAGCTGATGACATTATCCGATATTGAGGTTGAGGATGCTGTGTAATCGCCTCCACCGAAGATGTGGCCCAATAACTAAATAATTCATCGCCTTCCGGGGGGAAAATCTCTCTTTCCTTTAATATTTGGACTGTGCCATTAAATAATTCATCCCCCTATCCATAAATTGTTTGTTCAATTGGTGACCTTTTCATGGGATTAAGGAAGCACAATAATAAATTCTTCAGAGACCTGGCATAACGAATGGTACAATTATGAAGCAGGATGGGATCGGATCGGTTGTCGCAGCCTGGTGTTGGTTGCTAAGTGACAGCAGGAACTTTTCCGCCCACTGTGTTTGCTGTTCGAGTCTGAGTGACTGAGAGGACAAAAACAATCACATTATGGCAGTCTAGACGACTAGTGCTGCGTATAGGACCCGTTTGTGACTTCTTATGCCTTTGACAGCCTGTCAGTCACTCGGTGATGAAAGTGCCTCGTCGAGGAGATAATTTTCACAGCTCAATTATCACTTCTTTGCGTGTTGCATGCTTTGCGGAGACAGAATACTTGATCTTTAATGGAATAAACAAGCTAAGTGAATACTGATGGAGGCTGTGATCCCTTATTGTTTTTCATATTTAATCCCCGAAAATCACTGAGGCAAATTTAGATGAAACAGAGGAGGTGAGGGGCGCGGTTTGATCATGCACAAGCAGCTGCTCCTCACGCAGCGCATTGTTTTCTAGTGGATCCACCACTAAGCTTATCTCAGCTTCGCCTTGAGCTAAATGTTTTATTGCAGTATTCACTTTCCCCCTCGCAGTAATGGGTGGTATTTTACTGGTGGCTTTCTTCTGAGTCAGTGGGATTAGCTGTAGCCTTGTCTTCTTGTGTGAAAAAAAGCAGGGTGCCAGCTTTAACGGGAAGGTAGCCCAGTGAACAGCTCGGCCTCGCAGCGGCCAGCGCCTCCCCATCGACTCTCCACCTGCTCTTTGAGCACCTAGCTGGCCGCAGACATGTCGATCCTGTTCCCCTATCCTCTCCTCGTCCTCCCCTGTTTGGCTCCTCTCCTTCTCCTCCTCTTGCTTCCTCTCCTTTTTCTCCTTCTACCTCCCACCCTCCTGCTCGCTCATCCTCCTCACGGTCTCCTTTCCATCCATCCCATGTCCCTGGCTGCCCTTTCCTCCTCCTCCTCCTCCTCCTCCTCCTCTTCCCCCCGCCTCCATCCTAAAGCAGAGTAGCTAATGAAGAGCCCCATTTAGCCGGTGACTTTGGTTCAGTCGGCGCTCTGTAGCGCCGGCCGGCCTCAGCTGCCGTGACTGGCTGTTGAGGCTCTGACATCACACGGGGGCCAGCTGTTGATTTGGCGCTGTCTCCAAGGCTGGCTGGCTTGATGGGTTGTGGCAGGTAGACTTGTGCTCACACAGCACTCTCCCTCCCTCCCTCCCTCCCTCCCTTCTCTTCCCTGCCTTCCTCCCTCCCCTCTCCCATGCTCTCTCTCTTTCTCTCTCGCTCTCTCACTTTGTGACACCCACTCTCCCTCGCCCTATCTCTTTACACTCCCCTCTCCCCCGTCTTACACTCTCACTCAGTCGAGCGGGCGAACAGGAGGCAGCAGGCAGCTGCCGAGGAGCGAGCTGGGAGGCGACTCCAGCCTCCTCTCCAGCAGATTGCGCCTCCGGTACGATGGAAACTAAACGGGCGAGTAGCAGAAGGGATGGAGGGCAAAGCTGCCGGGCAGGTAGGTCATGCAGCTTCAGGACACCTCAGCATCTGTTCCTTCCTGTCTCTTGTAGTTTATCTACTCTGCTTTTGATACTTCCTTTGCCCTTTAGACTCCTGATTTTCTGCTGTTTTAGCTTTCATAAGGCATGTGCTGTCAAAAAAAAGAAAAAAAAACAACCATGAGAAAAAATCTCCTGTTTCTTTTCTCATTGCATGGCAGCAAGTCAGAGAACAAGTGTGTGAGTCTCTTTCCTCGGCTTGTTAAACTGAGCGCAACACGAGATTCGGTGTTGCTGTCAGCGACGTGTTACTCACTCAGCCGAGCCAGGGCTTTTCGCAATCTCCTCGATAGTTTGCCAGTGCTGCTTCTGCTTTTCATTACGGGGGATAATTAACCGAGATCAGCCAGTAATAGGCTTCGCCATTCGCATTGTTCTCCAGCCAAGCTCATCTTCTGTCTGCCTGTTTCTGCCTCTTGTTTGTTCTGCAGGTGTTGTCTGCAAATGGACTTTTAATGACTCTGGCGGACTTTCGGAGTTATTCTCCTCTCATAAGGCTCAATAGATTAAAACTGCTAGACTTGCATGTTAGTTTTGCTGTTTATTGTTTCACCTCTAATTACCTAGATTGATATTCCCCCCGTAGCTCTCCTGTGGGATAGGTAATGGATTACCTACATGCTCTGCTGTGGATTTAATTTATTAATGCTGGCAGGCTGCGTCTCTGCTGCGCCGCTCCGCGCTCACACCGCCTTCCTCGACCTGGAGGCAGAGCGAGCCGCACAATTAGAGCCTCATTTGTGCCTGTTTATGTTTTTGCTCTTAATTCCGCCTGAGCTCTTGAAAGCACTTCCTTAAACTGACACCGCCTCAGTCGCTCCTGAAAAATTCCAGGCGCATGAAAGCGATATCATTTCATAAGCTTTACACTAATCGCTTTCTGGTCCAATTATATAGCTCCCCTGTCAGTGCTCTCGTTGCTTTTGCAATTAGCAGAAATGGCAAGAAAATGGGAGATTAGTTACTCAGTTTAGCAAAACGCTGAAATCAATTTTATTGCAGCAGCATGAGTGCGGAGCAGCATTAGCAACCTAATTAGCTGTTTATTTGATGTCTGATTTTATTAGCCAGGGTGCATGTCCTGCGTCTGCTGAAGCTCTTTCATATCCAAATCCGTCTTTTTGTGGATTTGTTTGGAAGTCGGGGGGGCTTAATTGCGCGGCGGTAAAAGCTTTTCGCTGTGTTTTGCTGTGCTCGAAAATGTGCAATTTCGGAAATCATCCCAGCATAACAGGTAATTTTTGCAGAGAGAGAGAGCGAGCAGGTGACATAAGCTGTAGCCCTCAGACACGGCTTTACCTTTGTGTTTGCCTCTGCTTTTGTCTCACAAATGTTCTGTTTAGTATTCCACATCACTGCAGACAATATCCCAGCTGTTTGGCACCGATCCCGCTGTTGTCCCTTTTTATGTGACACTCATCAGCAGCAATAAAGCATGAATAATTTTTCAGCGCTTAATCTGCGACTGCAGAAACATGCTGCTACTCCTTTTTTTTTTTTTTTTTTTTAATTTCCTTCTCAAGGCGCTTATAAATCACCGCTGGATTTTTCTTTGTGAACACACAGGAGATGTCTTGTTCTTCTCCGCCCCGCGTTTGACTCATCTCCTCATTCTCCGTGGAGAATAGAGCCGGGGATGGAGAAGCAGATAGAGGGAGGGATTGAGGGTCCTTCACCTGCAGTTGAGCTGGTTATAGCCCAGACAAGAGCCCTGAAACACGCAGGGCCGAGCGGAGCAGAACAGAGGAGAGCGGAGGTGTGGGAGGGAAAGGTCAGCTTTTTTTGCAGGAGAGAGGCAGGTGTGTGTGTTAGTATGTGTGTGTTAGTGTGTGTGTGCGCGTGTGTGTGGAGGGGAAAGAAAATAAGTATACTAGAGTGTGCTTTCTCTAAATCCCTTACCAGCAGGCTCTTCCGCGCCTTCACAGTGATTGAAAATTTTCTCATTAGCTTGCCATCCAACATAATTGTCTGTTAGAGCAGTCCGTCAAGAGCATGCAGCATGATTAACTCGACTCAGCTGACAGCCACCCCCATGACCCCACTGTGGGTTTGTCAGGAATTAATTTCCATCAAGAATGTATCTGGGTTTGCATATGCAAAATTCAGCGCTAATCAAATTAAACGGCTTCGATTGCATTGTTAACTTCTCGATGTCAAGCATATCTACATTTTTGATAATTCCACGCATCTGCGTTCCAGATGGGCAGGTTTAATGTGCGTGTGTGAGAAGAGGGGGGGTTCACGAATTCGCCGACAGGCACGGTGATAAAGATAGTGTGAATGAGCACTGTGACACTGAACGATGCCTGAGGGAGCCTCTTTAAAGGTGGCTAGGCTCTGCGGCGACTGTAATACCAATGAACCACTCCCTGTCAGCTCCGGCACAATACTGAGGGAGATCCAGGCGGGCACATTGCCTCTACAAGTTCACTGTGGGGTGTCTGTGCAGGTGTGGGTGTTTTTTTTTATTACGTAAAGGTAAAGTTCGTCGATTAATTGAATTCAAATATCAGAAAAAATTAGACTACCACTCTGATGCTTGACATGTTGTGCTCATTTTGGCCTTCACAGTAGAGCATGCACGCTATTATGCGTCGGCATCAGGTGCTTAGATTGATGTGGAAGAAAGTGTGGGATTGAGCAGAGTGTATCCAGCAGGGGAATGCTGTGTAGCGCTGCCAAGGAGAGGAGCAGGTGTGTGTTAGTAAAGCAGAGGGACGGGGTGAGCGTGAGGTGAGAGCGCTGTCGAATCAGTGAGAAATCGCGTTCTGGAAACAATGTCTGTCATAAAATCACCATACTGCACACACACTCATACACACATATTCAGTGTGATGTACTGAAGCCCGCTCAGCAACTCTGGTCATAAAACCCGGAGCGCCTGTGGCCATACTCGACTGCGACGCCGTTAGAGAAACTTTCACACTCTGCGTGTGTGCATGTGCGAAAACGGCAGGAGCGGCACGGAATTACAGAGTAGGACACACGTTTTCCCATTTCAGACATGAAATTGGCGCCATTTTCTCCCCCGCGATTCAAAGAGGAGAGGCGAGATCCAGAGCTGCAGCGCCGAAATAGTCCATCTTTTGACAGAGGAATAACTACCCCAAAGTGCAGAGTGCATTTAGAGCGAGATAAGATGGAAGAAGAAGAGCGGGGAGGTCAAGGTAAAAACATCTCTCAATGAGAGGAAAGAGATACAAGCAAGGAGAGGTGAATCTGTCTTCAGATGGCCACCATACAGTGATAGATTACCTGGCTGCAAACTGCACTGGGTTGTGCACTCTGGAGGGGTGAGTTTAAAGAACATCAGCGTTGATGAATGGATTCTGCCTTGGGCCTCACACTGGAGCGTTTGCCAAAGTCACAGTGAAACCTTACAGGCTGCATCCGACGTTTTTGTCTCTGATTTGCTCCAGTTTAACCCGAAAATCCAACTAGTAACCTTTTAGATGCAGAACTTTAGATTATGAGGTTGACTCACTAAGTATGATTCTCCTCATTTGTGACCACGGTTCCGTGACACGTCATTTCCATCGTCGTCGTCATCCTCTCCGTCTGCGGCCGTGGCTCCAGGCTGAGGTGTCATGAGACGGAGGATTATAAAGTGAGCAGGGATTCTACTTGACCTTTTTGGCTGGCACAGGAGGTACATGTTGGGAGCAGCAGCCAGGCCTCGGCACCGTTGGGTGTCTGCCAAAGTCAGCGTGGCACCCTGACACACAGATTAGAGGGGGGAGGCTTAGAGATATGCAGACAATGAGAAGCCTGGAGAATGGTAGCTGTAAGAGACGAAGTTGATTGGCAGGATTGTGTATTCTCAAAAGTGTGAGTATTTTCAATCAAGACTTCTAGATGAAATGAATCGATGGATTAAACCACCAGATTAATCCGGGATTCAATTAATACTTAATTTCTGCCATAAGCATGTTTTTCCTCCTTATTTGGCAACTTAAACCAGCTGCAACTAACAAAGTAAGCAATAATGTCGCAATTTTATAATACAGAGCAGACAGGCAGCTAATTAAGGGAGCAATTCAGCTGTGCAGCCAAGTGAGGCTTCATGGGAAATAACTGATTTAGTGCAACAGCTGGAAATCACATTTACCGTATCATAAAATACTTTCCCCCCCTCCAAACACTGTGTCAATATTTTGCAGCCCTGTTGTCGTTGGCAATTTGCGATCCCTGCCCTGTCCGACCGGTGTCACCCTGTAGTTCAGCAAGAAAGACATTTGCAGGAAAATAGAGATTGTACGCCTGACGATGTGAAATTTATTTGCCACCGAATGGCGCAGGATTTTCAGCTGAGAAATGCTATCTTCCCCCGCTGCTCTGTGAATTCCTAATGCTTGGTTTTTACGAGGTTGGCAGGGGTGCCTTCTACTGTTGCCTCCGCCGCACTCCCATCTCTGTGCTCATCCATTATTTATGGCGCATCGGCACGCACAGGCCCAGGAATACACACAACACTTTCTACTTTTTTGCCCCGGCACACAAATACTTCAGAGTTGCTGACATCCTGACTGCTGTCAGTCTGGGGTGACCCTCATGTCAGCGCAACTCCCGACCTCCTGACCTCCCCCCGCCCCAGTCCACCGCAGCGCTAACCCCGTGCCTCTCTTGGTTGCAGGTCAACAGGGGTCATGAGGGTGTCGGAGGCCCCGGTTGCCGTTCAGAGCAGCTGAAGCAGACATGGCCAAAGAAGTTTCGAATGGCAGCGGTAGGCTCGGCCTCATCGACTTCACCAGCCACATCCTCCTTCGCCACGACCACCACTGGCTACGCAACAAGTACGTCTCCTCATTATTCATCTTTGAGCAGATTAGTCAGCCATAGAATCCAAAAAAACAACCCCAACTTTGACTTAAATATCTAGAAAATACAGTCTGGGAGTAAAGTGCGTTACAGGCTAGAAAGGCGGAGCTTTCTCTCCAATCAGATGTTTTTAACCCTTGCAGTAGAGGAAGTTACATCAATGTGACGTCATCATGATAGGGAAAAAAAATTCATGAGTAATGTAAAAAAAAAAAAAAAATTTTACCCATCAGCAAATCACAAACATTTAAGAGATATTCTTCTATTTTTCAAATTTAAAATTTAACTTTTTTTTCTTTTAACAATATTAAAAGTGCAAAGAAATATTATGGGATGATAGAGTTCACCATGGACAAAATCAGTATACCGTATTTTTCGCACTATAAGGCGCACTTAAAATCCTTTTAGCTTGTCGGAGCACTGCAGCTACCGTAGCCTCACGGAGTTATTGAATGAGTTAAATAAAGTTTGATTATCTGACTGTTTTGTTTGGGTTAATGCGCCTTATAATCCAGTGTGCTTTATAATACGGTATGCCTTATGTATGAAAATAGACACATTCATTGATGGTGCGCCTCATAATCAGGTGCGCCTTATAGTGCGAAAAATACGGTATTCCACTCTGGTGAAAAAGTTTCACTTGAACAGATTCATACTGTTTATATCAGAACTTTTGATCCGTTTAAATGCAAGTTGTGAAACGTACGTTATGTGAGAAACCGCAGCCACAATCTGAATACAAAGCCATGTGTCGGGAGATGACAAATGATAATAGCCTTAGTTACAAATGAGTCACTTAACCAAAATACAGCAGCAACACTGCTGTGATTTATCTCTCTGTTCAGACATTCAGTCACTGAAATAGATTTAACTTTCAAGTTTTTGTTGGAACTCTAAAGAAAACAGTTAACACACATTTAAAACCATCAAGGGCGCAACCTCTAACACGCTCGGAGTGAAAAATATAACCCACAGATCTCGCAAAAGAATGGTCGTGTGAAAAATTAAAGCCGCTGTCAGGATTTTTTACCTGGTTATGAAACAAACGGGAATTAATTCTGATGCCCTTATGTGACCTACAAAAGCAAACAAGACTATTAGTGAGACAAATGATCGTTGATTAAAATTCATTTTTAATGATTAAAAACTACAGTCAGAGGGTTGGTGTCACACAAGGTGATAGCAGGAGGCTAACGCATTAAGCTTTATTCATTTCTCCAAAGGGAACAAAAAGGCAGTAGGTGGTAGACTTTTCTGTGGTAAGAAAAATGACTTTTTTTTTTTTTTGTTTGGAAAAAAAGGTGGGAAGAAAAAGATCTGAGGAGGAGTGTAAGGGGCAAGGATGAGGAATAAATGAGGTGGGGGTGTTCAGAAAGCATTTAGAAATGTGAAGTAAATTCCAAGAGAAGAGTTGAAAAAAAACCTTTTTAATTAAAACCAAGAGGAAAAAAACATGCCATTTGTTCTTCTCTGCAGTGGTAACGGTAAATGGACTGTGTTTGTAGGGAATGTCTTTGGTCTTCTGTAATTATAACAAGAAATTAAATACACACCGAGCACAACCGTGACTCTGCAGAATCTCCCTGCTGACACTGTATGTCAACGTCTACTGATAAAAGCAAATAGCTGCCATTACTTTGAGTGAGAATCCATAATGTGACTCCACAATATTAAAGAAGCCATCCATTTATATATGTATATATATATATAAAAAAAAAAACACACTGATGCCTCCCTCATATGAGACCAATTTGCTGCTCCCTAACTTCCCCGACATTTCCTTAATGTAACACTGAGGATCTAATGATGAGCCACATTACTTATGCAGTCAAAACATCAGGGATTCTAAACAGGCACACTGTGCAATTACCTCCACCATGAGAGACGGTGCAGCGAAATTTGAATGCATCAAAGTCTGCAGCCAAATTTAGTCCAACACTCCGCTCCCATGATAAAATGTGTTTGGAAGAATGAACGATTGGCTGAGGGACAAAATAGCGATCTATCACCAGCTCGGCTCTTGAAAATATCTGTCCAATATTGCAAATCTTAACGGAGAGACTCAAGAGACTTCACTCATCAAAATGTCAGCAACAGACACTAAATATTCAGAGGCGTGCTCGGCACTCTGGAGTATTAAGCTGTTTTCCTCCAGAATGTAAAAATAATGTAAAGCAGCAGCTGCAGTTGCTTTTGTCAAACCTCTGACAGGTCATTGAAATTCAACATCTGACTCTCCGGTGCCCTGCTAAATTTAAGCTAACCTCTTAGCCTCACGCAGCATTGGGTTAGCGGAACATTTGCCAGGCAGGAGAGCAGACGGACCTCACTAGAAGTCAATTACGGTGACATAGAGGGATTGGATGCCACCTTTTATTTTTTATTTTTTATTTTTTTTAAAAAGAAGAGTCGCTCCTGCTCGCTGTCTCAGCTCCTCTGGGACGGAGATAAACAATCAAGTCTCAGCCGGCCGGCGATCAGATAGGAAAATGGCTCTGATCACTGGCGGGCAAATAGGTTGAAGCTCCCGCTGATTGGCGCAGGCGGGGACACACACGCCGCCAGTCACGTACACACTCGAGAACAGAGTAAGTGCTGTCATGTGTGGATCCAGTTTTGATGTGCAAAGTGAATTTGATGTGCCCGTTTCTAATTAACCTATTAATCATAGCTCTCATGTACCAGATGTCTGCCCTCCCTTCTCCTGAGTATGTGTGGAACCGTGTGTGTGTGTGTTGCGCTGCATGGGGGCTGGATGCATAATTAGGGCATATCAGCAGGATGAACTCACACTTCAACATGGGAGGGGGGGGGGGGGTCATGGCATAACACAGATAAACCCTGCAACAGACCAGAGGTGCTAAATTTAAAAAAAAGTGTCATGACGTCACCTCAAACAGCCAACATTTCTACATTAAAAAACAGTAGGTTGAATATTCATACAGACTCCTTTTGGGGGTTAATTCAGGGTAATGGTGGACTTTTCACCTAACTTTCCTTTTTTTTTGTTTTTTGGAAAACTTCACTCAAAACATAATTAATAGAGATACCTTTGGGACAAACAAAAACTAAATTAAATTGAAAAAATTAAAAAATTTTGACTTTTCAGGCTATTATTCTGCGATGTTGGTTTGTAAAAAATCACTTAAAATGAATGTTTTTCCACAAGTGACATTTAAATCATTAAGTGACAGTGATTGCATAATGTTAACCAGATAAAAAATCAGTGCTTAAAGTTAAGGATGTCAGGCTTTTGATGGCTAAGTAAGACCTGGATTGAACACCCTATTCAGCCGCCAAAATGGTCTCAATTTCGAGTCTCGTCCAAAGGGGGTGAGTAAGTAACTCAAAAACCACCTTCAGTCATGATCCGGCTTTCCTACTTACCACCTAGCTGTGATAGATGCTTGTCTCTAAATGGTTGAAACCCCTCATAAGTAAGTCTCAGTGGCACATATAACATCTGTGACGACCACACATGTCTTATCAACATAAGCCGAGGAAGAATCTAGCACAGAAACAAGCCAGGGATAGTAAAACACAAAAAGAGCTGTGTTAGAGACATCAACCAAAGTGAAGACAACAGAAGAAGCAACTACAACACTTTAAATTCAAAGTTTGTGAAGCAGGCCAAAGTTCAGACAAGGAGGCGGCGAGTGAGGAAACACTGCCAATGGTCAAATATCTTAAACATCCACATACATACTTGATCCACCATGTCCCTATTTACATTGAAAGTCAATATTTTTGGCCTGAAGTGGGACTGAGACTGTAACCCAAAGCTGTTCGGTCCCACAGGAGCAAACCTCCTGCTGTGTCTTGTCCGTTCATGTCCATTGTCTCAGCAGCAGCTGCAGAGCAGTGAGACAGCACTGAGAGAAAGAAATGACTGATGATGGCGGTTTCGCCCCTCTCCTACATGTGCTGCTTCATAAACCTTTCTTACAGTGAAGACTGAGTATCACCATTCCTGCTTCTGCAGAGTCGTAGCTTTAAATGCAAAGTAAACATGGAGGGAGCGAGCAGACATTAAACCACTCTGTAAATAAAATGTAGCTCACCGGGGATGAAGAGCAGGGTTTTGCTTTGGGCTGGAGTTTAATAACCAAATTTGAACAAGTAAGGTAAGTAGTTTCATTTAATATTGTTTTGATATGTATTTTTTTTTTAGTTCACATTTATTTATGTGAACAATAGTTTAAAGCATTATTAATCGAACCTTAAAGCTATTTTTGAAGGATTTACTAATCAACATATGCTGAGATTTATAATTTCTCATTTATATTACCGATAATTTATTTTCATTCTGTTTTACACAGACAATAAGACATGAGCAATCACTGCACAGTCTCAGCGACCTCCGGGCAGCTCAGATATTCAGTGTTTTTTTTTACTAAAACCTCCTTGAGCACTGATTTTACCTCAGACTATTAAATGACTCACTCTCGATTTACAGCTTACCTTGTAAAAAGATTTGATCCGCAGAATCATGTGTTTGTCTAACCAGGCACCGCCCACTTACAGCTCTATCTCCATTTTGGAGATCAGAGTACCGCCAAATAACGCCCCGCTATGAGAAGCCATCTGTCATCTCTGCTGGTTTACATCCAGGTAGTGAAGCATCATGGCGCTGTGGCTGTGACCATTGACTGGCAGAGGCACAGCACTGGCTGGAGCAGGTGGCTCAGCCTGCAGTCCAGTTTAGACACAACATATGACCAGCATTCGAGACCTGAAATGATGAAAATATTTGTGTGTTTTAATTGAAAGAAGATGTAGTCATACATATGCAGGAATAGCGGGGCGAATTTAATTGAGAGGTTGGTGCCTTGTTGTAGACATGCCAAGTTAGAAGGCTGTGGCCTAAATCCCACTCAGTCAGCAAGTCAGCAATCCAAATACAGTCACCAACCAAATCGGTTTCTGGTTACGAACAGTCACCTCAAAAGAGGTCTTTGAAATGATTCCTCTTCTGTTTCGGGTTTTGTAACTCTAAATAAAGATTGGTGAAACAAAGTGAACTTTGCTTATTCAGCCTCTTATTTCAACAAAAAAAACCACTGCAAAGCATCTGTGTCATTTTCATGTTAGTTCACAGACACTGTGTTGTGTCTTTCAGGTTTTCTGTTATCGCCAGTATCTCCCAGTAAGTCTTTGCAATGAGAATGTCCGATACGGTCGACACTGAAACGATGAAGGTGTCCGAGGCAGCCGACCAGGTGTCCCCTCCAAAAGACAACGCCACCAAGTCTGAGAATGCTGACCAGAGCCAGGCCGGCAAAGAAGAACACAGCAGCAACAATAAGAGGGATGTACAGGTAAGAAGCTCTGACATCTGCCTCCTTTTTGTTTTTCAACCCTCCTCATAGATGTCCAGTCAGGTTAGTTATAGGTGTCTGCAGCCAGCCCAAAGCATAGGACACCTGACAACTCACCAGACACTGTCACTTTCCCTCCAAACTCATCTCCATGAAAATTCAGTAACAGTCAACGTCAAACGCAGACTGCCCTGGGGATCTCCTGTCACCTGCGGCATTCAGGAGGATTTTAAGCCAACTCCTTCAGCAACCCAAATTACTCCTGAAAGTATAATCTGCACAGACTAAAATAATAATGTGGAATTTGAATCTGCCTCGCCGGTGCTCTTGAGGACAGTCCGGCTGAGTGTCTTCACTTAAATCTGTGTGGCTGCTGAGAAACTTCCATGTAGAAAAAAAACATGATTTTCTTGTGGCAAATGTCGAAAGTTGAGTATTCTCCATGGGAGACATTAAGCGCTAAATCCACTGGGGATTCAGGGCAGATGAGATCACTTTCAAATAAACTGCTAATTAATTAGGTCTCTGTGTCACTTCAACAAATGCGCTTTGGGACTGCAGAAAATTTGCACTTTGTAATTCGGCTTTGAAACTAAACCTGGTGCTGACTTGTTTGTGCTCACAGAGGAATGGATGCAAAAAAAGTGGAGGAAAAAAAAAGGCCAAATGGTGTGAAATCACTTCTAGTTCTGGTCAAGAAAAACAAAATCCAGGCAAGGAAAAGGATTGTCTCTTTGGCTGCAGCCTGGAAATAGGATTCAGGCCAATCTGGCCTTGTGGTGGAAGGCAGACAGAGCGAGGGAGTCAGGCAGGCAGATAATCTGGAGCTCAAATCCTGGCTTATCTATCAGCTTCCTGTGTCTCTGTTACCCCGAGGAACAGAATGACACCGGTATGGGGGGAAAGGGGAGGAGGAAGAGGGAGGAAGGGATGGGTTAAGAGGTTGTTAGAATGAGGGATCAGAGAGGAGGAAGGTAAAAGAGCACGAGGGAGGTGGTATAAAGGATGTAAGGAAAGGAAAAAAAGGAGGGGATGCATGAGAATAAAAGTCAAAGATTAAATTTTCAAGGTTTTGTTTTAGCCGAATCTGACTCTTAAAAAATCTGTAGTACCATGAGTGGCCACAGGGGCTGCTGTTGAGCCAAAATACACCCATCAATAAAAGAAACAGTGCGTCCAATGATCCTGACACTGTATGTTGTTCCCGAACTGCTAAATTTATATCAAGCTTTTTCTTTTGTGAACAGGAAAGTCATTGGAAATGGAAAATTGAAATTTGAAGGTGGAAATGTGCGTCCAAAAACTCTTTCCCTCCAATGCTACCATCAGCACAAGCAAAACTATCCCTCTCCTTTGACGTCTCTCCCTAAATCGACTTTGCAAGTATCCCTGCCTCCTCTATTGTTTTCATGACCTCTACAAATGTAGGCTGCATCCAGCTACCTTCTTACTATTCTCCCACTTTAGCTAAAACTCACCCTTGCGTAATTATTCTGCGGTCGAGGGATACGCCGCGAGCACCAAAACAACTGACCTTTCCGCTAGTAATTTCCAGCAGTCGTCGGTGTGCGGCTCGTTCAGCCGTTTTGCGTGAGGGCATCGGTTAAATGCCTGAAATGTTCTTTGTGGGAGAAATGTGGGAGGTAGGAAATGGGGGTAAGAAACACGGGAGGGAGGACGCGGGAGGTGGAACAGGGGCACAAAAAGGCATTCCAACAGAGAGGAAAGAGGGGGGGGGGGGTTGCATGGGGGGGACTGGGTGACTTTGCCACCATCTGCCTCCAGCTCTCCGGCTCCGTCCTCTGCGGCAGGACAGGTGGCTGGTGGCCGCCCTACTTCTGCTGACTTCAGCCCTTTCCCTCTCCCCCCCCCTTTTTCCCATTCCTTTATCTCCTGCCGGCATTGTTCATTCCCCACCGGCCCCACGCCGCTCAATTAGCTGGTGTAGCGGTGCGCTCACAGTCCCAGTCCTGTATCCCCCCCTTCGCCTCTTCTCCCCCTCCCTCCTATCCTGCAGCCACATCCATATTACCTGATATAGCAAGAGGGCAGGTCACAGGCATCGGAGATGGGCGAACAGCGGTCCATTTCAATTTTTTATAGGTGTTATTTGGCCTAGAGCTGGATGAGGAAGAGGAGGGGTTGTCCTTTTGATTTTTAGAGGACAGGTGGGAAGGACAGAGTGTGTGTGTGTGTGTGGGCACGTGTGTGTTGGGATTAGGAAGCAGAGGTCTGGGCTCTGTTACAATTCCAACTGAAATGGCTCCTGCCAGGTCTCACCCCCCCTTCTCCCCTTGCTCTCCCCCCTCCTTTTCCTCCACACCTCTATGCATGCTACTGAGAGACCGTCTGTTTATACGTACACACACACACACACACACACTCACAGCCACCAGTGCGTGAAGCGCAGAGGCACCGAGCTGTCTCACACACTGTTGGGCATCCGGTCTCTCTCTGCTTTCTGCATCTCACCTCCAGCGCCGGGGTCTGATTCACATGACAGCTAAATGGAGCCGGGAGCGACGCACAAAACTGACCCGAATCGCTCGCAGCCAAATGTCTGCCTTTTGTTTTCTGCAGAGTGTGTGTTTTGGCGCGTGTGTGTGTGTGTTACAAAAAGGGGGCTCTACACGCTGCCACTTTGGTAGCATATGCTGCTCTAAAATTAATTTCTGCTTCCAGGAAATGGTACATGTTGGATCAGATTTTTCATGATATTTCACGCCGCAGAGGGATTTTATTCTTCTCTTTTCGCAGATAAATGCCAGTAATATATTCTACTATGCTGTTAAAAAATTTCAGTTTAAGTACAGACCTAATAACACAAGGATTACAGAAGGTTATTTGTCTTTTTTTGCTGTCTCGCTATAAATTGTTTTGCTCTTTTGCAAGAGCCACTTGCGCACGCATGCACAAAATGTAGGCCAGTCATATTTAATTCAAACTTCTCCGCTTTTTCTTTGCCTCCTCTCCCCTGCAAACTTTTGTGGTTTGTTTGATTTTTTTATTTCATTTCTCCTGTACACTGTTTTTCCCTCCCCTCCCTTACCTTTTGGACAGCCTGTGAAGTACTCCAAGGTACGGTACGCTACGCTCGACATGCATGCCGTGCAAGGATGCTCGAAACCTGTGTTATGTGCACTTGGATTGCGTTGTTTGCTTGGATTAAGTTGGAAGTTGTCCCTGTGTTTGCCGTCAAGCAGGTTGTCGTCACACACATTGTATCAGACCTGTACAGTTACTCCATTGCAGTGTGTTGAAATGCCTTTTATCTGAATGATAGCCCAGTTTATGGTTTGATATGCCTGAAAAAACAACAAGGTGAAATCCATTTCTATCGTGCTTGCTGGATTGCTGTTGATGTTACCTCAAAGAACCATGAGAAGGCCTGAGGTGATGTGAAAGTGCTTACTCCATTTGAATTGAAGATTGTTTTGATCAAGCCATGTGGGACAATTCGCTGCCACTGGTCTGCATTTACCCAAGCAGCGAAAAGCTCAGTCACTCAAGGCGGGGTTTGTCAGCCAAAGCGTGAAATATTGATTCAGTATGATTTTGCTTGCAAGAATCCATCATGCTCGCTGGATGCTCCTGTTTTTTGACTTTGGCTCGTCACTGTGATGATATTGATGCAGTTATGTAAGCGTGTGCATGGTTTTTTAACTGTGCCCACCTACCCGCAACCCCAATCCCCCCACCCCCCTTCCGTAGTCCAACACCAGGCTAAAGCTGGTGCGGAGCCTGGCAGTGTGTGAAGAGTCCTTCCCTTGCCCTATCCCTGAGCCTTCAGCAGCGCCTCAGGTAACATTCCCTCTGAATTACCCGAGCTTATCGGTGCTGAGATATGATGTTGAACAAGAGAGAGAGAGAAAGCATGCATTGAAGGTGATGATAGACAAGAAGGAAACCACATACAAGTGAGCTTTTATCTCTAGCGGAAGAATAACAAATGATTTCGAGAAGGAAGGAGATGATGCTAAAGGCTTACAATGTTAATATCATGTTGGATGTCAATATTCTGCTGTATATTAACATGTTGCTTATTAATAAGTGAAAGAACAGGAACACTAACTCAAAGATCCCCATCCTGACCTGGAAAAATAAGGGTTTGAAATAAACGATACTTGATATGTAATCGACCATTAAAAACACCTTAAAGGTTGGTTGGGTAAGTCACAATAAGAAATAAAAAAAAAAAAAACAGACATATTTAAACTGAGATATCCTACGAGAATCTACAATAGGACTTTCTAACAACGAGCATCTACTTTAAAGTGCTGCTTGGATCAAACCAACCCGATGGATTGATGTTGACGCCAGATTGCTCTCATGTATGAATAGTTCACCAGCACAGTACAACAGCACCCATACAGCCATAATTCAGCTTCACTACCTTAACGACAGGAGGAGATAGAAGTGCCCCGTCAATATCTATGTACAGTCGATGTCTGATTTAGTGGTTCTGCAATAATCTACGGCCCCCAATCCTCAATTTCTGAAGAATTCGCCACGCCTATAAAAGTTAAGTGTAGAAATCTGTCAGAGCGCCATATTGTTATTAAATCACTCAAACACAGTCTGATCATCTGATGTGGTTTGGAATTGGATCTAATCTCATGTTTTGTGTGTAACTGCTGTAAAATATTTGTGATAATTAAATATGCACCCACAGGATGAGTCAATTACGGGCGCAATATGTAAAAAATATGAATGTTTCTTCTTGGGTCTTGAGAGAGTCCAGGGTTTGAATGAACTAAATGATATTCATGTAATAAAGTGAACATTAGCTGTGAACACATCCCTCGTTTCATCCAAATGCACTCTCAGATAAGGTCAACTTCATCCCAGTCATCCCATCATGCCCAGTGTGACGTCGTTTCTTTGACGCTGCAGTGTAATTTGTCGAGCTTCAACCCACATGCGAAGCGCTGAAGTGCTGACCGGGGATCAGTTTTCCATTTCAGCTCATTACAATCGAGCAGGTAGACCTCTGATGCTCGATTAGCGGCCTTCGTCTGACAGCTATGATTAAATACCCAGCCTTGGCCGCCTGATGAAAACATCACATCATCAAAACAGAGAGAGAGCGCGCAGAGCTCCATCAGCGTGCCGGACGTCTGTTTGCTAAATCAACTCCTCTTTCTTTTTTTTTTTCTTTTTCTTACATCGTATCTCCAGGCAAAGCCCCCCTCCGATGAAACTTTCTCCATTACATGCTGCTCTGCACAGCTCCCGGCGTGCTTTCACTCACACACAGGCGCACCTATACACGCACAGGTGTGTTTTTTCAAGGTGTTTCAGCCAGTCAGCACCGAGTCCCATAACCAGAGGGCGGTGTTATTCCCACAACAGTCTCGCATCGTCTGCACTCACACGACGTCCTGTATTACCGCCATCAATCATGTCGGGGAAATTACAATTTCCACACGTCAGCTACAGAGAGCTGCGGAGCGCTCTAATTGAATACTCCTGATATTTCCCCCGCTACTGTTATTGGGGCCCCGAGTCAGGACTCCTTCTGCGGCGGACTAACCTAAAGGGGAGAGGTAAAGCAATAAAGAAAACCAAGGAAAAAAACACATAAGTGGGCTCCACACGCGTTCAGACCGCATGATTGTTGACTCTAAACATCTCCCATGATGCTCCATTTTGCGTCGTTATCTCTAATGTAAGACTGAAGGAACAAACAAAAGGCTGTAAGGATTTATAGGCCGTTCGAGACGTTCTACGCGCTTAAACGCTGCATCTGCCTTCATATTGTTCGCCCGGCTGTCAATTCCAATCAATGGCCGATAGTCAAGAGCGGCTGAATACACGCTGTACTTTTATTGTTTCAGACTGACAGCACGTTCATTATATATTCAGGCGGCCATCATTTTCACGCTGTTTTCCCTTTATCTTGAAGTAAATGGATGTCAGGAAACAAATGAGGCAGCTCGCAACAGCTGCACATCAACCAGGCGGTTTCCACGTGATGCCGAGGGTGGCATTAAGCGGCAAAACATCACCGTTTCTCTGCCAGAGCGAGAAAGGAGAGAGAGGGAGAGAAAAAAAGAAAAAGAAGCATGTTTCGCTTTGACAAACACGCACGCACGCACATGAAGCCGCTGTCACTTCCACAACACACACTCCCAGACTCATTTTCCCTCTCTCGCAGTCTCGCTCCGGCAATTAGTCAGTCACGTTTCTCATTAGCATATTACATTTTCACATATATTCAGAGCGCATTGAAATGAAGGAGAGCGCCGAGTCTCATTATCTGGCTCCGCAGCTGTTACAGGGGGGATCAAACCCGTGACCTTTTTTGGTCATGAGCCGCTCTCCCACCTCTAGGTCACCCCCTTCCCTTTTCTCACTCCTTCATTCATTCATCTCTCTCACGCACGCTCAGAGGACTGTCTGATGTTCCAGAGTTGTGTTTAATCCACTTACGGTGCACCGGCAACCTCTCTCCCCTCTTCAGCTTCCTTTTCAGGCTTTTGTAGGAATGCCTGAAAAGCAAATAAGATCCTGTCTGAGCCGAGCGGTCGTCTCGTGTGTGTCTGTGTGTTTGGGTAGCATCAAGACAGGTCAATTTTTAGAAGAGCTTGATCAGCCGGTGCTCATTTTTGTCGAATAGAAAGGAATGAAATGTGCCACGTTGTTTAAATCCATGGTTCTCCAATCGGCTTGATAAAAACAAGCTAATCTCTTCAGTTAATTGCCATTGTGAATTGGAATTCATGGACCAAGGGGCAATATTGCCAGAGAGGAAACAGGTTTCACAGATAAACCAGGAGAGTTTATTAAGTGTCTTACAGTGGCCTCTTTTGCCCGTGCTGCTCGCTAATTAACCCACAACCTCCGGCAAGATCACAGAGAATTAAAATGCCTCATATTTAATGCCTCCATTCCAAATTAATGTCTGTTCATCGATCAGTACACACCAAGGTCACATTAGGATTTGAATCATGTGCAAACGCCGACATTCCCCGCACCTATCTTTGGGGTAAAGTTGAATTTCAACCATGTTCTGAAAGAAACTTTTGAATACATCAGCAGGAACTGTCTGTGACTGAGTTTTCTGCTGTTTTTTCTTTCTCTCTCTCTCTCTTTCTCTCTCTCTCTCTCTTTCTTTCTCCCCGAACAGGATGGATTTCTGCTCAAGCCCTTTGAAAAAGAAGATCGAGCCGCGCAGGAGCAGTGTGAGAAAGAGGAGAGCTGCAACAAGGTGGACAAGCCAGAAAAAACGCTGAAGAAGATGCTTTCGAGAGGTGAGACCATGAAACACTTAAATGCGCTCAGTTTAGGAGGTTTTGATAGTCAAGTTTTCATTTCTATTCAGTTAGATCGCAAGTATGAAATTTAAATTAGAGTTTTAATATGATGCATGTTAAAAATTCCATTATTTACCATCTTAAAGCATTTTTTTAAAGTCTAAATTAAAATGCGAAGCAGTGCACATCAGTGTCTTGATTTAGATATCAACCCAATCGGCTGCACCTGCATGCTTAGCTCTAACTACATCGTGCTGAAAGGGAAACTCATCAGAATGCTCTTATAGAATCAAACTTTACAATTCTGTCAAACTGCGATTTAAGGAGTTTGCATCAATGGCTCAGATTTTTAGGTTACAGACCTTTGAGTCCACCTGTCACCAGGGATGTCTCTGAAATAGATCAGCTCTCACTTCTTGGGAAGCTGAAAAATTTTCCATTAACAGCTCAGCTTTCTTTACATCATGAACACCTGGGGCCTCATTTATAAACATTGCTTATCCCGAAAAAGACGCACAGAAGACGCCCGGCGATTCCCATCCAAAAAATTGGAATTTACACATAGAAACTCGGCGGCATAATGTATGCCCATCTGTAAGCACCTGCTCCAGATATAATAGATGCCTATGGATGCTTCCGCTCTCATTTTGGTGGCACTGAAGGAGAAGATCTGGAACACGGCCAAGTGCTTTAATGATACTTATCACACAATCCATGTCACTCAGCTAAATTACAGCCCTCTAATAATTATATCCTTTACCATGTCACCAGATCATCCAATCCTAAACATTTTTTTTCTGCCCTCCAGTTTGTCCAAAAGCACTCTTCCATTTTAAACGATATCTCATTATGCGCCGATAATTGGCGTGATTCAGTTAATTGCGACAAGCTCAAGGTGTTAAGCAATTATACCGATTCCCACAGGGGCATAAAGGTGTCTGCTTCCCTCTGTGGAGCAACACCACTGATGAGGCAGCCTCCAATTATAGAAACCAGACACCCATCGAGAGGCAGGGGACGAGCTCCAGTGTCCCCTGACTCCCACTGACGGGTGCTGTCCTTTTGTTAGTGCTCAGGAACATGTTTTTCCAGCGTCAACTTTGTTACCCGACCACTTCTTCATTTCTTAAGTGGCTCAGCTGGCAGCGCTCGCTCGCTGCCGATACAAGCTGCCAATTTTTTTTTTTTCCTTCCTCGTATTGGTCACACCAATAACAAGCACTAAACAGAATGGTTCCAAAGCAATGTCACCCTGAGTGAAATTTCTCTTCAGATTTTCACTCTGGCTTTTCCGTCAGCCTTCACAAATGGACGATCTGATTTCAAAGGTTAAACTTTTTTATTACGGCTGTCAAAAATTTCTTCATGGATCACTCAGACAAGGTTGTTTTGTGTTTTTTGTTAGATTCCAGTCAAGATTACACAGATTCAACTGGTATAGATCTCCATGAGTTCCTCGTCAACACGCTGAAGGGCAACCCCAGGTATGCAGAACATTTACGGCAAAATAACCAGATTTAATTTGAGCTCTAAGGGCCTTTTATTCACCTGAGGAGCAAAGAGATCATTTATTCTGAGTCCAATTTTGTCCTGAAAATGTTCAGAAATCTTTGCAATTGGATTTTCTCCCAGGGATCGAATCATGCTGCTGAAACTGGAACAGGACATCTTGGATTTCATCAGCAATAATGAGTAAGAAATATTCATTAACACATTATCATGCAGCTTTTTCATTGAGTTTTTCATCCTCACCAAACACCACAGCACCTGTTTTAGCATATGTGCCAGACAAACTATGAGAAGGAGAACTTAATTGGCCAGCCTACCTGGAAACTTCCATAAAGCTGAGATATGTAACTCAAACATAGTCTTTGAGTTGATGGAGTTCTCTGAAATACAAGCGCAGAAGGACGTGAACATCCTTCAGTTGGGCTGTGATTGATGTCACACAATTAAGATGCTCAGCATCCCAGCTGTTAGGACAGCTGAACAGTAGGCAGCCATATTTGAATGTACTGCATTATTTTTTAATGAGAATGAATTTAATGCTGGTCACTAAATTCTGCTTTAGATGCCTAAATCAAATCATTTACCAAATACACGTGTTAGTTTAGAAATACTCAGGGTACTGGAGGTGAAAGTCACCCTCTGCTGAACTCAGACGTCCTTTGATTGCTTTCAGACCAGACTCCAGGGCAAATTTAGCCTCAGATCATTAACCCCATTTCTGCTGATCCTTCTAGAAGCCAAGAGAGAAAGTTCCCACCCATGACGTCCTACCACAGGATGCTGCTACACCGAGTAGCAGCCTACTTTGGCATGGACCACAATGTGGACCCGAGCGGAAAATCTGTGGTGATCAACAAAACCACCAACACTAGAATGTAAGATTTCATGTGTGTCCGGATCTGCTTAAAATTCTCTGTTTGTCTTTGGGAGTGTAACAGTGAATCAGTTCCAGCTGCATGAAAAAGTCGTAAAAAAAAAAAAAAAAATATATATATATATATATATATATATATATATATATATATGCTGAGATATAAGCTGAGAACTGTAAGATGCAGCTCAGCACGCAGCACCCAAAACGTCATCAAATATCTAAGGAAACAAAATTGCTTTATTTCCTGTGATGTAAAAACATGCTTTTATTTTGAAATGAAGTATATGCCACTTCCTGTAAATACATCTATAAGAAATGCTGGCCTTACGCTAACTTTTATAGTGGCAGCTCAGCTCGCAGTCCCCAAAACGTCATCAAATATCTAAGGAAACCAAACTGCTTTATTTCCTGTGATGTAAAAACATGCTTTTATCTTGAAATGAAGTATATGCCACTTCCTGTAAATACATCTATAAGAAATGCTGGCCTTATGCTAACATCTATAGTGGCAGCTCAGCACGCAGTCCCCAAAACGTCATCAAATATCTAAGGAAACAAAATTGCTTTATTTCCTCTGATGGAAAAACATGCTTTTATCTTGAAATGAAGTATATGCCACTTCCTGTAGATACATCTATAAGAAATGCTGGCCTAATGCTAACTTTTATAGTGGTAGCTCAGCTCGCAGCCCCCAAAACGTCATCAAATATCTAAGGAAACAAAATTGCTTTATTTCCTCTGATGGAAAAACATGCTTTTATCATGAAATGAAGTATATGCCACTTCCTGTAGATACATCTATAAGAAATGCTGGCCTAATGCTAACTTTTATAGTGGTAGCTCAGCTCGCAGCCCCCAAAACATCATTTATTTTGAAATACAGTATATGCCACTTCCTGTAAATACATGTATTAGGAGCAATTACGCTAACATCTATAGTGGCAGCTCAGCTCGCAGCCCCCATCATCCTAAAACACTGCCTTTTAATGTGAATTTATAATAACCGTTTATTCAAACTGAATCCAGTGAATATAAGATACCACACCCCTGTTTTGGTGTCTAATTGGTGATGAATTTTTTTGCAGCAATAAGCTGTTGCAATCAGTCGACAGATAAGTTGCGTTTCCCGCCTTGCCTGTTGGTTAACATATGTTGCTGTCAGCATCTGCCTGAAATTAAGCCGCCACTAAAACTCCTGTGAATTCCCCCACCAACAGACCCGATCAGAAATTCTCAGAGCACATCAAGGATGACAGGGCGGACGATTTTCAGAAACGCTACATTCTCAAACGTGACAACTCCAGCTTTGATCGCGAAGACAGCACGGTAGGTGTTTTTTTTCCGTCTCTTCTTCACCAAGCTGTCACTTTCATTCCTGACATGTTGGTAAGAGTGGGACAATCTGGCGTCCCTGACATTGCTGCTAAAGAAGCGTGCGTGTATGTGTGTGTTGTGTGTTTTTATCTGCTTATGTGTGTGTGTATGTGGTGTGTCCTTGCCAGATTCGAATGCGTTTGAAAGCTGACAAGAGGAGCAAATCGATGGAGGAGAGGGAGGAGGAGTACCAGCGAGCCAGAGAAAGGATATTTGCACATGATGTGAGAGCTGTTTGTGTGGGCGGGGTGGGGGTGGGGGCCTTGTTGCACAAATCTTTGTGTGGTTTCTATTCATGTGCAAATTCAGTGGATTTCTTGCTTCCAATTACCACTGCTGGATTTATGAATTTTGAGACGGAGCCGCTCCGGTTTGGAGCCAAACTCTTAATGTCATATTCATAAGTAGGACTGCGAGCGCGTACAGCGAGGTCTAATTACCTGTCTATCTGGAAGTTTTAATGATATTAAAATCTGAAAAATGGTGCTAAGGGTAAAATAAGGTTCAACGTGCACACGGCAGTGAAACAGAGCTTTTAAGGTTTAACAAATGTGACTAACTGTAACTTTCATTCCCTCGTTCACAGGGAGATCACTTCATACTGGACAGAAGGTGGGTAATAAAAGGACGCTTATCACATGACCAGTGACTCTGCCTCACCTCTCATTGAGGAATAATTCTGTATCCAGTATCAGTGATGAATTGTCTGTTAATTGGCAAAAGTCGGACCCCTTTAAAGTGGAACTACAGCTCCTCTACTTTAAATGATGTTCAATCACTTTTATAGTTTTCCTGTCAGAGGCACAATTAGAGTCCCCTCTGTCACGCTTTAAAATGGTGGATATCTCATTTTGTCTGCGCGCCTCTTCTCTTAACGCCTCTCCTCCTCCTCCTCCTCCTCCCCTCAGTGCTCAGGATGAAGATGCATGCATGAACACCCAACAGAGGCGGCAAATGTTCAGGTAGGTCCAGCCTGCCCCCTCCTCCTCCTCCTCCTCCTCCTCCTCTCTCTCGTTACACATCATTCAGCTCTTTCAGCGGCCCCAAACCGCAGGCAGAGAAAACCCTTTGAATCGCCGTCTGCCTTAATCGGCTCGCTCAGGAGCGGGAGTGCTGATCTGAGGATTTGTTTTTGCTGCTCAGGAAAGCTTCTGTTTAATAGGATTTTCTGGCCAGGCTTCCTCGTGTGGGACGGCCTTTTCGGACCAGAGCCTGCCAATTAAAGCGTGAAACCTTTATTTATTTTTTGTTTGAAATGTCATCTTTTATTGATGAAGTATGGAAGAATGCCTGAACATGTTTGGCCTTACGGGATGACTTCAGGCCGGGTTTAAGATGTCGAAAAACGAGTAATCTAAAGTCCATGAAATATGCAAATATATCATGTAGGCATGTGTTTTTGTTTTCAGTTTTTCTCGACTTAACCGGTCTGTTGCCATAGAAATGTACATCTTGAAGGCATTAATTTGAATTCAGGATTTTTCAGACTGAAAAGCTGACCCACAAGACTCTGAATTAAATTAAGTCTTTAGATATGAGCAGATGATGCAGAAAATCAAAAAATATGTGAATAAGAATTAATCATAATGTGAGAAAATCAGGTCTGTGCTGAGGGCCTGTAGTTTATTAGGCTTGATTTGGCATTTACAGCACAGACCGGAGCTTTTCCTGCTTTTTTGTTCTGACCAATCACATTCTCAATTCAAGTTTTACACGTATGATCAGAGCTGAAAAGGTTGAACAGTTTCCAGATGCCATTTTGTGATTTAAAGGAACCATAAACGCCATTTTGACACGTCATGTTCCGCCTTCTCTCTCCGACCAGGTTACGGGCCAACCGCTCAGGCGCCAGCCGGCAAAGCAGCTCCGAGACGGAAACGCTGCCCCGGCACGGCGAGCCCCGGCCCTGGAGCAGCACCGACAGCTCGGACAGCTCCAACCGGCTCGCCCCGCGGCCCGCCATCACCAAGGCCAGCAGCTTCAGCGGCATCTCCCCGGGCCTGGTTCGAGGGGACAGCACGGCCAGCAGCAAGAGCACCGGGAGGCTCTCCAAAACGGGTACGACAGAGCTTTGAACATCAACCGAATGACTCAGCTTTTCCAATGTTTACTCATTTGACTCCGAATCTGTCTGCTCGAAACTTGAGGGAGGAACCACAACAGCACAGCGGTCAATATTCTGCTGTGTGCACAAGTTTAATGAATTGTTTTCCCACCACTTCTATCAGATTCAGCTCTCTCTGTGATTGATGCTTCTTGTTCTAAAACAAGGCCAATAACATTTTACAGGTGAACTGTGAACATAGTCGCTGGAGTTTCTTTCACTTGGAAGTGAGCAGGCGACTTATTCCGCCAGACAGGGGAGAAGAAACTCTCTGTCACAGCATGAAGAGGAAAAATCCACTAATTAGATAGTACGCCGGGTAAAAAGGGAACAAAAATAGACGTTTTGCATACCGAGCTTCAAGCGAAATCCTCTAGCATCCACGACACCTGAGGTCTTATCAGAACAGTTGTTTTATGTCACGCTGCGGTCAGGAAGTCTTTGGGCCGCCCTGCAGCCGGTTAGCTGTCAAAACTAATCACCATACTGCAACAAAGCCGAGCTGCGGCTCTCTGAAGCCTCGCAGCGACGAGTTCTCGTGTAACGCGCCAGTCAAAGCGTGGGGGGAGCACCGCACACACCGCCGAGATGGAGCTAGAGCTGTTCCCCAACTGCAGGTGCTTGCGCCATATTATGATCCATTTGTAACTTGACTGGCTGAGATTAGATAAAGTGTGTTCTTCACCGCGGGGTTGCCGTCTTTATCTCCACAAATACAGAGTCGAAATCCTTGGTTAGCCTCTGCTCTCCGTTTTTGTTCCCCGCCTGTTTCCATCTGGCATTTGTCTATTTTTGCCAATCTCTGTTCATTCTTGTTTTGTTTTTTTTTCCACCCAAAGGTAGCAGCAGCAGCAGCAGGAGCGGGCTCCTTGCCTGAGCAGTTTTTTAAGTTGTTTACGAGGCGGCTGGCTGCCCTCACTTTGTGTTTTTGGGGAGTATAAGTCGAGGAGACATCTCGCCTGTGCTGCTGCGTCCTCCTGTGCTTGCCCTTCTCCTAAAGCCCTCGAATAACCTTTTCTTGTTCCAGGCTGCACGCCATTTCAACCTGAGCATGGGGGCTTAAGAAAGATCCCTGAAGTGAAAAGTTTATTCTTCCTTGTCTCTGCCTTTATGATATCATTTGGACCCAGTGTTTCGCTTTAGAGTCAAAGTCACGATCTTTTCCCGCCTATTGTTTCTGTTTTTTCCAAATCCAGCAGTTAAAAGTAATCGCGTACATTAACACCACTGATTGTTGTCCAAAAAAACAATCCATCTAAACCATTTGTCTGCAAACACCTAAATGAGAAAGTGTATTAGGAAGTAAGGAGAGATATTAAATCCTATAGTAGTCCATGTCCCACTTCTTTAGGGGTCATTCAGGGTCCCAACCTGACCTCCTCAATTGTTTCTTTTTTGCTATAAAATCTGCCTCTCACTCCAACCCACATAAGCCATGCTGCAAACAGTCATTATTTATAACACCAAGGAGACAATATCGTATCGTAACATACTGTTTCACTTTGTATCGTCATCGTATTGCAATCTCTCGTATCATACTTTTAATATTGTATTTGCACTGTGCAGAACAACATCATATCATGTGTTTTCATATCGCACAATTTCGTACCATATTATATCCACTCACTAGTTTCGTATCGTACCATTAGTACCATATCATATAGTATCATATTGCATCCTATCAGACAGTATTATGTCATTTTGTACCTTATCATATTCTACTATATCATTTCCCATCGTTAAATGTTCCATTGCATCATATGGTATAGTACTTTACTGTTAATTATATAGACATTAAAATCAAAAACATGCAAAAAAAATGAGATTTTTGCATCCACATCATATTACATTGTATTATTTTGTGTCATCTTATGTTATTACATGGTTTTCCAATATGTTAATCATGTTACCTATGAAAACAAAGTTATTTATTTTGAAACACTAACTGTGTTTTAAAGCTGATACAGTGTATGGCTCATTATTACATTTTAAGACAATAGTTTAAAATCAATAGTGCTGCCTTTCTATGACTATCTTTCCACAGAGTATAGTTTTTTTAACATCTGTTGTATTTAAAGTTGAGATGTTTTAGTGTTTGATAGCCCTGAAATTATTATGACATAATTATTAGCATTAACTCGTCCATCTCTTCGTCTGTCTCCTCAGGTTCAGAATCGTGCAGTAGTGTCGGCTCCTCGTCCAGCTCGCTCTCCCGTCCCCAGCTGTCCCTCCCACCTTCAGGCTCATCCTGGTCCAACGTCCCCAATACGCCCTTAATCCAGCCGCCGCCTGACACCAGAGGTCCCAGACAGCCTGAGATCATTAAGAGTGTCCCTCCGCAGCTACCGTCAGCCACAGAAGCAACGAACTATTATGTATTGCCGCTGGAAGCCTCAGGGATACCACCTGGCAGCGTTCTGGTCAACCCGCACACAGGTAAAAGAATCTATTAAAAATCTGCCTTATTGACTGAATCAGAAGACACAAAAAGATCTTTATTTTCCAAAGGCAGTGACCCGATCTGATTCGACCACATTAAACCAAAGTTAATTTCTCCCTCTATAAATCCTCCTGTCTTGTAATTTTCTGCTGTCCTGCTGAATATTCATGACTTGGGTGCAGAATTACAGGCTGGGTTGAGGCTGCTCTCGGTTTGTCCATCAAATTAGTAGTCAGACCAAAGCGCGCTGATCAAAATGCATTGAACAGATGGGAAGAATCTGTAAATATTCATCATCGGCCGAACTCACAGTTGTGCACTTTTGGGCAGCAAACTGAACTTCAAATGCTGCCAAGGTTGTTAATTTCCTGTTGACTCCCCTCTCTCATGGACCGTGTTTGGCTGTGTCAGAGTGTTTCCTTTTGTATGATGCTGAATTAGTAGTCTCTCTGAAGCCTCATCATTCTGTTTTTCTCACTCTAATGAATTTATTTTGACAGGAAAGCCTTTCATCCACCCCGATGGCAGTGCTGTTGTTTATAACCCGGCCGCTGTCGCCCCTGCAGCTGGCAGGAACCAGCAGCAGGGGAAAACCCCACAGCAGCCAATCGCTGCCCCCAACCAACAGCAGCAAGCCAATCACATCCACTCTCAGGTGAGTAGGCGGGACCAAATCATTGAAGCGGAATGTTTTTTTTTTTTTTCCCTAATTCACATTTAATTAAGGGGACAGTGGTTTTCTAACTCACTCTAACCTCACTAACCTGTGGTGTTGAACTGTGTAGAAGGTGGGAGTTTCACTTAAGACATTTCATTGACCATTTAATAAACTCACAAACAGACTTCTCCTTTTGTTACTTCTTCAGAATCAGAAACGAATCAGAAATACTTAAATAATCCTCAGAGGAAAACTGCTTTCGTTCATACTCCAGTGCAAATACAGTGAAGAGGAGATAAATAATAGATAAGGTAAAAGATTAAATACATAAAATAAGTAAAAATATAGAGATAACATAAAAGTATTTACACTAAAAACAACACAAATAGTGACAACGTATGCAAATAAAACAGTGAGCAGAGTCCAGGTAAAGAGTTTTTAAACCTTTACTAAGAAGTAAAAGCAGAAAAGTTTAAAGATACAATGAGGAACTTTACTTCTAGTGTTGATTTTGGGGACCTCTCTGGATGAAAGTGGTCATATTTGTTCTGGAATAGAAAACTTTATTTCCCATCAGCACCATTGACTACCGTCAAAAAGGTTGCTATCAAGACATATCTGAGACTTGTAAAGAATTAACTGAAAATTTTAGATATCTTTTGCAGTCAGTGGCCATAAAATATCGCAATAACAATGTTTTTGCAATATTTACTAAACGACACCATCAGTCAAATAATTTCACTTGAACGTAAGATTTTTTGAGGGCCGAATCAGTGCGCTAGTAGTCTGCTACGTCTTCTTTGTAGGTCATCACTTTATGATGTGTAGCAGCTAGCATAAAAGACCTCTACAACTAAGTCATGGTATTATCGTCTGCTTATTTTTAGCACAATATCAGAATTCTACTTGATATTTTACAACTTGTAGCGCTCATTTTAGCTAGCTATCTTATCAGCTGGTGTCGAAATAGCCTGCCTGTATTAATCTGCGTTCAGCCACAAGAAATAGGGGACAAGTTTTGTCCTGTTTTGAAGTAGATTTGGAGGCAAAAATGACTTTCTGGGTTATTTTTTTAACAATATCATCAGATATAACACTATCAAAAATACAGGATATACTATATACTGTATCAGAGTGATCAAGAAGAACCGAACAGGATACGTAGGGTTTAGTAAATGGTCAAGTGAAGCTCCAGCCATTAAACTAGCTTCCTCTGTCTTGTCTCATCTCTTTCCCTCTGTCCATCTCTCCTCCTCTTCCTCCTCCAGCCGATCTGTCCTCCTTTCCAGCTGTCCTCTGAGCCTCTTCACAACCCAACGGTCTCGTATCCTCTTCCTCCTCCTCCTCTTCCTCCTTCTCAGTTCCTGCCCGTCTGTCCTAACCAACAGTACACTGTGGTACAGAACTACTTTCCTTGCATTTTAATACCCTTCCCTCTGCTTCATCTCCTGTCAGACCTGGCTCATTAGGAGTTGATTACAGAATTATAATCTGAGCTGTTAAACTCATGAATTCAGCTCTGCTGCAGACGCCCAATTAGTCTGGAAAATTCTGCTTGGATGGTGCCTAACTCAAGAAATGCTCTTAGTGTTCAGGCTCATTTTACACTGATTTTATCATTTTAATCTCTAAGTATGTCATCTATCTGTAAAGTTGGAGTTTTGACCACACAGATGATGTCCAACAACGTAATTTTACCTTTTAAACTTTCATCGCAGATCTTTTTAGTCCTCTGAATTAAATATTTCATTATTTTGGACTGAAAGGTGTTTCTAAATCTGGCCCCAGCCATTCCCCTCATATATAGATCATGCATCCACTTAACCTCATTTCTGACCTGGTTTGAGTGAAATACATGCCTCCGCGACTAATTATGCCTGTGGAAAGTTCTATTAATATTTAATTCATCACCAGATGTTTGCGCTGAATAATCCATGACTAAAAACGCTACTTTTTCCAACAACATGACAGGAATGACCCGAAGTGGCGAGCAGTGGTGATTGCGGATAAATAGTTCACTTCATGGTCAGCTGCCCTCCACAGGCCCGGGTTCAGATTTAAACCCCCTGCTTTTGTTTAAAACCTTCAAGTGAAAGTCAATGAAGCGAACGTCTTTGATTTCACACTTAGCTTGGAAATCAGCTCCCTGGTGGACGAACTGTATTGAGCAGCGTTATCGATTCAAATGCAGCATGACCCAGGTTCTGACTGTCATTAACCCCTGTGCTGGATATTTGTGTATCATGACTCTCAAGTCCACTACGGAGCCCCTGAAGTCCTCAGAAGTCCCATTCTTGATCATGTGTGCACAGGAGAATGAACTTATCCCCACATGATAATAACTTGTGCAAACAACATCATGATCTTGAGTAAGTTGTAAGAGCCTGTTGGCTTCTTGACCTCTCCTGACTTACCTTTTTTGTTTGCGTAATTAGATTGTATGCCGTTTTAAAGGGATATTCTGGCATAAAATTAATTTAGGGTCAAACACACCGTAACACTGAGTTAGACACCCCCTCAAGAGATGAATGTTGCCGTCCGCTTGCTTCTCTAGTTTTACCAACTTTAGTAACAACCGCAGGATAGCAATACACAGCGGTCTGAGGAGCCACAAACAAACCTCAACCAAAACTCCACTCTATAGCCACAAATAATGCTCAGAACAGCAACTAACTTCATCAACAGTATATATAGGGTCCCAGCCACAGCACTAGCCACCAAACATCTTTTTAACTTTGCCTAATTTCTTCAGCAAAGAGACTAAACACAACTCACCTACTCTCTTCCAGCAGCCGCTTGTTTGTAGCGAGACCTTCAGGCGTGTCCGTTATGGACTACAGTGGGGTGACGCAGCTCAAGAAAGAACATTTATGATCAGTTCTTCATGGAAATGCAATCAGATTGAGACACTAAGGTAGAGGAACTACCGTGTCTGCAGTGCAAAATGATTAATATGGTGATTATTACTTCAAAGAAATGATCATAAATGTTCTTCCTTGAGCTGCGGCACCCCACAGCAGTCCGTAATGGACTGTCCTGAGGTCTCACTACAAACAAGCGGCTGCTGGAAGAGAGATGGTGAGTTGTGTTTAGTCTCTTTGCGAAAGAAATCAGGCAAAGTTAAAAAGATGTTTGGTGACTAGTGCTGTGGCTGGGACTCTGTATGTACTTTTGATGAAATTAGGTGCTGTTCTGAGCATTATTTGTGGCTATAGAGTGGCGTTTTGGTTAAGCTTGTGTCTCTCTCTGTATTGCTGTCATGCAGTCGTTACTTAAATTGGTATAACTAGAGAAGCAAGCGGTCAGCAACATTCATCTCTCGACGGGGTGTCTAACTCTGTGTTACGGTGTGTTTGACCCTTAATTAATTTTACGCCTTAATACCCTTTTAAATGTGTGCATAAATTTAATGGTGCAAGCAAGTCACTCCTCTAAAATCTTGTGCACACATCAAACTTCATTTCCTTGTGCTCACAGGATCATCATCTGTGCATGATATTATCTAAATGAAACCAGTTCAATACCTCATGCACAGTGGGAACATGTAATGATCTTGTTCGCTCAAGATAATTGTTTGTGTCTTTTTCTCATTTCTGAACTGAAGGGGGCTCCACAGTTTGCTTTGTCATAAATCTAACACTTTTTTGTCTCCCCAGCCTGACGCCCTCAACGCCCAGTTCAGTCACATGACCTTGACGCAGCAGCCGCCCAGCGACAGCGGCGCCCCGGCTCACGACGCGCGCCACTTTCCCCCCGCCTACCACCCCCACCCCTCCTCTGTGATGCTGCAGGGTGCCCCTCACCCTCCTCCTCCTCAGCAGCAGCAGGTTGCTAGCTACATGGTGGCAGGGCCATCAGGAGGACATCCAGGGGTGCTTCAAGGTCAGCCTGTCCCCCTCCAGCCCCCAGGTCCCGGTCACACTTATCCCAGCTCCACGCCGGGCCCTTCTGCGTTCCCGGGCGCCACGCTGAACCAGCAGCTACTGCAGCAGCACGCGTACATCCAACAGCCTGTGCAGCAGGTAAAAATCACTTGGAATCATGCTAGGTGATGGTAGCTGTTTGAAAACACGGTGAGCTGTCTGCAGGTTTCAGCCATGAGTCACTCCTGCAGTGGAAACCAGCTCTATGACTAATCCTTCATTTCTCCTGTTGCTGGGAAATGTATTCAAATGGGACTTGCAATGTGTCACCCAGGCCTTGAATTGGTGTTGTGCGTTTTTTATTACAGATATCCGCGTGTTACTGCTCTTCAGCCCACCACCCCCACTGCTCTGGCCAGCAGCAGCAGCAGCAGCACTACAGGCCCCCACTCAACCCACTGTCCTATAACTGCCCACAGAGCCAAAACCTGCCCCAGCAACAAGGTATGAACACCTTTTGATTTCAGTTTCTTGGCTGATAATCTACAGAGCTATTCTCCTATTTTTTTCTGGGTAAATTGCGAACTCATCTTGGTTCACCCAAACCGGCAGGTTACCTTTTCTTCCTTTCAGATTTTTATGATTAACCAAAGCAGCTCATTCAGAAAGTTCCTGGACAAATCAAAATGAGGTCCGCGGCCTCTGATGTTAAGCAACCCATTCTTTTAATGGAATTTCACCTCACATTATCAAGAGAAAAGCTCAGCCTTGATTTTCTCTCACCAAAAGACTTTTCTAACTTCCCACTTTCAGGCCTTAGAAAGTGTTTTATTGCTGCTGTTTGTCTGTTTCTACACATGGGAGCAACGTCAGCCGCGGCCCGACGGCTCCACTGAAGGACAAACATTTCTCCCTTTCTTTCCTCTGTTTATTTGTTTCCCTGAGTTCAGATGTCTCCCCGGGAGTCATCCACTTGATTATTCTGTTTCGCTCTTTTTTTTTTTTTCTTTTTCTTCGTTTTTTTTTCTTTACTTCCCCATCACCACAGGAGCTGAGATTGTTAGCTCCTGCACGGTCTTTCTTTCACACTTGCACACATGCGCTCTTGCTTAACTGGATGTAACATTGCATGCGCGCACACACACACACACACACACGACAGTAAGTGGCTGCGGCACTATTCTGTCATCTGTGGGCTGCAAATGTGGCTTCCCTGCTGGGGATCCGGGGAATAGACAGCGGACAAATGAAGCTGACCTACAAAGGCAAAGGACAGCAATTATTTCTCCAGGATAAAAGAGGGGAAAAAAGTGACTCATTTCCCTGCTGTTTTTTGCTTTAATTAAAAAAAAAATCGGAGTAAAGGTGAAGACGCTGCGGCGAAGGTAATAAATAAGTTATCAGCGTGTTTTTCTGTGATGGCTCAGTTGTCGTTCAGAGAGAAACCTGCGAGGTGTTTCACCTCACTTGCATCAGACAGTCACCTCCACCACAGAGCTTTGGCTTCAGTCATGGTCACTCTGAGGAAGAGGCAGCTCGTATTGAACCATATGAGAGGAAGGATTTGTCTTCCTTCCTCTTCGCTGCTACAGGATGCTGGAGTTTAGTGAAGGTGCTTTGGAAGTAAACTTAAAACAAAAATCTTTTTTTTTTTATAAATTCAGTGCAGGACTTTAAAATTTCTGCCTATTAGACCGTTGTGTGAAATGTGCCGCTTGTACATTTGTAGTTCTAGTTGTATTGACCAATCACACATCAGCAGGTAACATTCGAACTAGAGGGCAAACACAGACAGGCTTTACTCCGCTGTACTGACGTCCTATTGACGGCGACTTCTTTGTCTCCACTGTTGGATATCTGTTTGCAAGAGCAGCTAAAAAGTTCAGCTAAAGCGAACAATCTATTGAACCTGTCACTAAAGAGTTTCAAAAGTTATTTTTTCTCCTCCAGAGAGCAGACTTAAAAAGCTTTCACTTTAATTTAATCAGGAAATCTTTTTCTTCTTGTGAGCAAGAGAAAGTCCTCTGTGTAGCTTCAGATTCACAGTGAAGCTGAGACTTATCGGAAACAAATGAACTAGGGCCCAACTGATACAGATTTTTTGGGGCCGATACGAATTATAAGGTGGGGGGGGGGTCTGATTACCGATCAATCGGGCGATTTTTTTAATTTTTCATGAAGTTATAAAAAAATATATACTGTAGATATACTGTAGGTTACTGCTCTTCACACCGACAGGAAGACCGACTGATCAAACTCGGACTAGAAAAGCGTTTTCAACTACCCCCCGCACCAATCGGTTTCTCTGCGTCCAAACTCACGTTACACATTTCCCGTCCGGTCTCATCTGGAGACATGCAGCTGCCTGAGCAAGAGAAGTAGCTCGATCACGTAATGTGTACTGTTGTTTATTCTACCGTTACTGGCACGGCTAACAGTATAGCAAGGCTAATAGCAGATGGCTAACTCTAACTTTAGCTTGCATATTACATGGTGCTTCACCGTTAACTCGGCGTGACCAAGACCAGCACAGTGAAGAACATAGGAAACATCGTGAAGTGGGTTGAAATGAAACTTCTTGACTTATTGTGTGTTTAACAAACTAGTTCATTTACTGTTGAGGCGGACCACTCTCCTCCGTGCGTCCCTGAGCTGCCCACTTCAGATCCGTCACTCTGCTGTGCTGTGAGGTAGTTAGTGGATGAAGACTGTCATGAGGTCACTGCGCCATCTACAGGATAAGTTGGGGAACTTTTCAAATGGCGGAACATTTTCGAAGTGAAACCGAATCTTATCCTCTGCATTTTATTTCTGAAAATATCGGCGAAAATCTTTTGGCCGATTACCGATAAGTCTCAAACAGGCTAAAATTGGCCGATTAATTCAGCTCACCAATAAATCTGTCGGGCCTTAAAATGAGCAGCTGATACTGTGAAGATGTGGAGAACCAGAAACTTCAAACAGCAAACAGTTGCTGCAGTGTAGACAGTAAAGCATATGAAATCGTGGTGTTAACAACGAAACTGAGACTTCGAAGAATGTGAGAAATCAAGAGATCACCTGCAGACAAAAATTGAGGGTTAAATTCCCTCTTTTGATTTAGAAGTTTGCAGATTGAGTCGCTGAGTATAAACAATGCAAAAAAAAAAAGCCTTGTGTTTACAGAGCGCATCTGCACAGAAGTGAAACAACGTTCATTTCTGCGTTATCCTCTCCAAATATCCTCCTCAGGTTTAATTATTTGCTGCTTTTTCTTTGTAATGTATCACCACAAACTGAAATTGCGATCTTGGACAGATGGCAGATAAAGCACCGGATTAAAAACGACACCCCAGGAGGCTTTTAAAGGCATTTTTCATCATTTCCTGACACTTCCAGACACAATGATTGAAGGAGAAATTAATTATGCTGTTAAGTCGATAATGGAAGCCATCAGATGCAATCTTAATGGCAGGATAGTTAAACATTATCGCTGCAAGAATAAGAAATATGCCAAGTCATGACATAGTGTGCTTGAACACTGGATGATGGGACCCCTACAGTATTTATAATGGTTCAAATGAGGCGGATCCAGCAGCTTTATTCAGCGGTCTGACTGATTTTAAGTGTGAATGTTTGTTTTCCGAAGCAAAGAGGGGAAAATCCTCCGAGTCTGAGCGGCGGGATGCGGGGCCGGGACGCTGTCTGAGAGGCCTCTATGAATCTCACAGTGAACCGGTCTCTTTTCCAGCCTCTCACTCCTCACCTGCAGCGCGCCGTAGCCTCGAAAATGTCATCCTCTTAAACCAGGATGGGCAACGACGCTTGCATGATACAGGGAGAGCGGGTCATTATCCTCAGAAGTCATTTCTTAAGTTAGAAAAAAAAAAAAAGTCCCGCCGCCCTGATTGTGCCTCCTGGAATGGAATAAAATGGTTGCGTTTGATATTATGGTCATTTCATGCTTGGTTTGTAAGTGAAGGTGGGAGGCGAGGGTGGATAAAAATAGTCCCTCCCGCTCTCCATTCCTCGCGGAGCACTTTCATTGTCTAGTTGTACTTTTTCCTTCCAGGGCGGCGGACTGTAAAGACACCTTCACAAAAGGATGTCCTCTCCTTTTGTCACCGGGATTACTGCGTGTGTGTGTCACAAGGGACAGTATTTTCAAACGTCTCTTTTTGTCACCTTGACATTTGAGGGCCTGATTCCCTCACCCCCCTCGGGGTAGGACTAAGTGCCGCCATTTTAGGCCACTTGGAAGATGGACGGCTCCCTCTCACTTAGTTTCTTCTTCGCCGGGTGATTTCACAAGAGCGGCGAAAATATGATCCTTTTGACCAGTTTAGTTCTTGAATTTAATTACCCGTTGAAGTGGGCGTTTGTGTTTCTTTTTCAGATGTATTTTTCTGGCAGAGGAGTGGCTCGTCCACTCAGTCTGCAGGTCCAGGCCACCGCAGGCGAAATCAGATTTATTGACTTTCTCATTTATTCCAAGTGCCTCAAACCTGCTTAGCTGTAACAGCTCAACTCACCGAGCCCTGACTCTCCAAATCTTTCAATCTGCCACTCGCTCTATTGTTCCCCTCCTAATGACAGGCGCATTTCCCTTTCAAATCATCAGAATCTCCAGCTCTCGAGCTTTTAATATTGGCCGTGACTCAGAGAAATCATGAATATTAATCCCAGTGTTTTAATTTTATCACAATGTTCCCGTCCAGAGAGTCTTTTCACTCGGTCACAGCGTCCTGCCTTTTTTCTCCTTTCGCCTCAGTGCACCAAGCCGTGATGCCAAACCCAGCGTCCAACTACCAAACCGTAGTGGGCGTGCAGCCAACAGCCAACCTCGCCCTCACTGGCAACCAGCAAAGCAATATGGGCAACCAGATGCAAGGCATGATGGTCCAGTACCCTCCAATGCAGTCGTATCAGGTATTTTGACTCATGATTTAAAGCGTCTATTTTTCCAACACCCTTTCAAAATAAAAGCATGCGTTTGATCTGTTTCCCGCTCTTTTTTTCCCCCACATTGCAGCAGGTTTCTGTGCCACAGCAGACGTACCAGCAGCCAGTGTTTGTGTCCTGTCAGCCGGGCCAGGGAGCGGTGGCGGTCGCTGGCATGCAGCCCTGCTACAGCCTGCTGCCCCCCAACCAGCACACCACCATGAGGTACGAGCCCCAGCGCGCATAGCTACAATTAACTCGCTGTTATTGTGTTCGAAGAGTCAGAATGAAGGATAGATAACTTCATCTAGAGTTGAGTAAAGTCTTCAAGCATTCTAATAGACATGAAGTGACTCACTCCTCAGTCAGGTTTGGAAAGCAGAGGCTGCATATGTCCACTCCCACCATCATTAAGCACAGGTTTAACCACAAAGAGAATAACAGTTTTGAAAGGACAGATAACAAGCCGGAGCTTTTGTTTACACAAACCTAATTATGTTCCAAATAGCCTCTAAAGATGAGTTATGCGGCCCAATTCCTAAATATTTGTAACAATTGAATCAATACTTTGATGTATGGGAGTAATTAGTTAATACAGCCGCTTTTTGTTTGTCTCAAACATGATTAATTTCATGTGGAGGTTTGCATTGATCCATTTACGGGCTATTGTAAAGGTCCAAATGAGCTGTCGAAAAGTGTGTTCAACTTTTCCTCTAAACTAATTCGAGTCATGTTCACTAAGGTTGAAAAAAAAACTGAGATTGTGCGGAAGTGCAAAAAAGTGCAGTTCCTCAAATGCCCACAAGGATATTTTCTTTGCTGCTGCTCTCCCTGCCTCCAGAACAAAGCCACACCCCCTTTAGACTCCGATAACCAAGTCTACATCCAGCCTCTCTAATAATAAACTCCTGCTCCTCTTGATTCTTCCCTAATGACAGATGAAGCAGCTTAAACCCGGTAAGCCAGTAGATGCCGTTCCTCCCTCCTACCTAAAGTTGCCTCTTAAATCTAGACCGAGCAGGCGTATCTGTGAATCCCCAGATCACTGAGCAGAGGTCATCTTTGTTCAGTCTGAGGGGGGAAAAAAATGAAGTTATTACTACACCGCTCCTGGTGAAGTAGGTCTGGGGTGTAGCTGATGAATGTCCACTCTTGACAGCCTCTCGAAAAGCTTTAGTCATTTTCCTCCATTACTCCTCTGCCGTGGTGAAGTGTGGAGCACCATATTCCCTCATTATAATCTGATTGATAGAACTAGTTCACAGAAAGCAAAACATGTAATTAGTTTCTACCTCCACGGACCCAATCAATCTGGATACCGGTGAGAGGAGCACTACTGGGACTCGTGTGCGCACTCGTATACACAACAACCCCCAGACATGAACACAGCCATCACCTGCAGGAGAACAATGCAAAGACACACACACACACACTCTCTCTCTCTCTCTCTCTTTATGAGGAGAGGTCACTCTCTCATTGTCCCAGCTGTAAAACGAGGCTACTTTAGTAGGCCAGTCAGCGAGGAAGTGATTTATGCGGCAAGTGCTGGAGCGGCTCAGTCGTCTCCCGCGAGGGCCGACTGTCCACCTGCAGCCTGCTTTTCCACCAGCTGTACACGAGTCCCCGCAGGCAGGTAGCTCACAGAGCCGAGCGCAGCTACTCCACAGATGGATTTAAAGTTTAAATTTCAAATTTAATACCCCAACTGCAGCGCTAAGATCTCCCGGCTCCCGGAGATTTACGTCTGTGCAGGTTTAGGAGTGATTATTGAGACCTACTTAGGTATGAGCATCGTAATGTACTAGTTTTTCTCGATCCAAGAGAGGTTTCAATGATTTATTAAGGGATTTTATCAGAAATTGTTTCTAGGAGAGCTAAATTTAAATCCTTGAGTATTGAAAGCATTAAAAAAAACGGTTAAAATATCAAAAATTCCAGGAATTAAGACGCATATTTTTTGTTTTATCCTAGTAGCATTTTTGCACTACGTTATAAAACAGCAGAGCGCTTACAGAGTTTTTTTTATCTTAATTTTCTAAACACTTTGTTCGCTTTCCGTTTTATCATTCACAGTTCAACAGTGAGTTTCCTGCCCGCGCCCATGATGGAGCAGCTCCAGTTTCCTCAGACCTCGTCCCCCTGCGTCACCCAGCAGCACCCGGGTCAGCAGTACACAGGTACGTTCCCCCCCTCTGAGGACACACCCAGAGCTCTGCGGCACAATCAGGCAGTAATTCCAGAGTATCTGCTTTCCAGCTTCTGACATTAGCTGCCCTGGAGATTCCCCATCACTGCCAGCACTTCGGCATCCTTTATTTCCCCCCATCTCTCAGTGTCAATAACTGCAGAATGTATTCCTACACAAGCTCCGACCCGGCCTTCTTAATGAAATAATCTTCCCCGGGTTTACTCCGCCATTGTGCGCTCGTGATTAGATTTACGCTGCGGATTTTCGAAATAAAAAAAAAAAAAAAAAAAAGTGAGGCGCGGTGATGACGGCTCCCTGGAGTTTGGGATAAGTGAAAGTGATTTGCACATCCACCTTTTTCCTGCAGAGCTGCGCAGAGATTAAACAGCGAGCGGGGTCCACTGCAATTCGCTGTCTGGTAGAGTTAAGAGGGAGTAAAGTAAGAAATCTCTGTCATCATAATTCTGAGTGTAGTATACACATGATAGCAGCCAATCATGTCAAATTAGTCAAGAAAATATGTACAGATAATTATGTACATGAGATACTTGTAAGAGTATTCATGAATCTGTAGAAATTTACCATGACAACCAAACCGTCAATGTAAACAGGTGGCTGACACATATTGATGTTGGTATTTGACTGCATAACAAAGGCTGTCAGTGATGACGCTTTAATCCAGATACCACATTTTTCAGACTATAAGGCGCACTTAAAATCCTTAAATTTTCTCAAAAATTGGCAGTGCGCCTCATAATCCAGCGCGCCTTATGTATGATTACTTGTTGTGCTGACTGACTGATTTTAATTGGAACAATGCCCTCAAAAATCTGTCAATGTTTAAGTACGACTTTGATAAGCAACAAAACTGCTCCACTCAATGGATATTTGGAACATAACGGAACGCTGTGTCACTACCTGATCAGCCCCGTAACAGGACCCCTGAACAGTCTACAAGACTGCCTGACTGTAATGTCTAAACTAAAAGTGCATTCATGTAATGCAGCCCGGGCCCGGAGTACGCGCTAGCAACGATAAACCAATCAATGCTTAATGCGCCTTTTGTGTAAACATAGACATGCTAATTCACAGCGCACCGTATACCGTATTTTTCGCACTGTAAGGCGCACTCAAAATCCTTTTGGCTTGCAGAGCACTGCAGCTACCGTAGCCTAGCTGAGTTATTGAATGAGTTAAATAAAGTTTGATTTATCCGACTGTTTTGTTTGGCTTAATGCGCTTTATAATCCGGTGCGCTTCAATAATCCGGTACATTTTATGTATGAAAATAGACTCGAATAGACGCATTCATTAATGGTGCGCTTTATAATCCGGTGCGCTTCAATAATCCGGTGCGCTTTATGTATGAAAATAGACGCGAATAGACGCATTCGTTAATGGTGCGCTTTATAATCCGGTGCCCTTCAATAATCCGGTACATTTTATGTATGAAAATAGACTCGAATAGACGCATTCATTAATGGTGCGCTTTATAATCCGGTGCGCTTCAATAATCCGGTACATTTTATGTATGAAAATAGACTCGAATAGACGCATTCATTAATGGTGCGCTTTATAATCCGGTGCGTTTCAATATCCGGTACATTTTATGTATGAAAATAGACTCGAATAGACGCATTCATTAATGGTGCGCTTTATAATCCGGTGCGTTTCAATATCCGGTACATTTTATGTATGAAAATAGACTCGAATAGACGCATTCATTAATGGTGCGCTTTATAATCCGGTGCGCTTCAATAATCCGTTGCGCTTTATGTATGAAAATAGACGCGAATAGGTGTGTTCATTGATGGTGCGCTCTGTAACCCGGTGCAACTCATGTATGGAAATAGACGCGAATAGACGCGTTCATTGATGGTGCGCTTCATAATCCGGCGCGCTTTATAATCCAGTGCACTTTATGTATGAAAATAGACACGTTCATTGATAGTGCACCTTATAATCCGATGCGCCTTATGTATGAAAATAGAAATAGACGCGTTCATTGAGGGTGTGCCTTACAATCCGGTGCGCCTTATAATTCGAAAATTACGGTAATCTAGTGTGCCGTATCACCCAAAAAATACGGTATATCTTTTTTAAATCACATGCCATTTTGTCCCTTTTGGCTTACCATAGTCAAGCTGCTGCAGTGTCTTCTTGCTTCCTTCTGCTGTCATAATGACTTCAATGTGCTTTTGAAAACATCCCTAGTTTGGTGTTTCGGCGCTGAATGTTCTGATGCTGCACATCTTCACTAAGTCAGTATGTAATAAAAGACTTTGAGGAGATCCAGAGGTGAAATACCAAGTGGCTCCGGGAAGAAAGAGGAGAAATTTTTTTGCATAACATTTCCGAGGAAGTTAGAAAGAATCAAATCTCCATAATTGCCATCTTTTCATGTATTGCCTTTTTTGTATTGGCCTTTCGAGGACTCGCGGAGTCTCCGTCCAGAAGCCCAGGTGGGGCAGTCTCCTCACTAATGACCTTTATTATTCATGTCGGATTATTACGGGCGCACGACGGAGGGAGCCATCATTTCCAGCACATCAGTAATGAGGTCAGATGAAGGTCTCGCGACGGCCTCACCTACAGCGTCACCAGTAAACATTTTTAATTGGCGAGGCTGGGGCCAGAAATAATCTGCAGATTAAGCCCCCCCAAAAAAAATCCACCGTCCTCGCTACTGTTGTTTGGACATAATTCATAAATCAACATCGGCGTGGGCTAAGCTAAGTCTTCAATATGATTAGCAATTTGTGTGAATTTTGAGTACACACAGGAATTAATCGGATAGACGGTGGCGAGTTTTTCGTAAAGGTCACCCGCCGGTCAGCCTGTGATTGTTTGTTTTCTTTTTAAAGTCACATCAGTCACGTTCATGCGTCACAAACTAATAAGATAATTGGATCTCCGGGATCATTGCAGAGGATTTAGCAGCAAATGGGAATGGACTGTTATTGCCACTACGGATGTGCCCTTATAATTAAGGCACTTAAGACCTAATTGCTTGGCGGCTAACGGTATGAGAGCAGTATTATAGTGATGAGGTGAATGCAAGCTGGAAACAGAGCTTTTGGGCGCAAACACCGAGTCTGTCAGTTTACCCCGGTGCATAAATAATAATGAGTTCATTTGAAGAGTGAAATTAGAATAAATAAATGAAACCTTTCACCGTCTTCTCCACACTTCCTTTCATGCCTGAGCTCGCTTTTGTTTTTCTTCCCGCTCTGTATGCTCGCAGGGTTGTTGCCCCCGGCCCCCGGCGGTGGCATGGTGATGCTGCAAATGACAGGGCCCCCCTGCCAGCAGCCCCGGGCCCCCTCCCCCTGCCAGCGTAAACAGCCCAGCCACAAACACCAGGGCCCCGAGCACCCGCGCAGCCGCAGGCCCGCTGAGCTTCCCCCACCTCCAGACAGCACCCAGGTACAAACACTACACAGACTAGGAGGAAGACAACCAATCAAAGCGGGGGCAACTTTTCAAACAACAGAAAGTTTCAGGCTCTGAAGTGAGAAGATTGTAACCTTTAAAAAACCTTATTAAGGGTGACTTATGTTGTAGGAAATATGTAATTAGTTGGTGGCCCAGAGGTTTCACCATGACAACAACAGTTCCCAAATTTCATATTTAATTATACGCCGGCGCAGGTAATGTTCGCTGTACTAGACTATACAAAACATGCCAGAAAGTTAGGATGGTGGCAAGAAAGCAATTTAAGAGCCAATTATGTTTGGTTGTCTGAGTCTGACAGTGACGCGAGAATCGTCCCCTTGAGCCAAACCGGGCCTCTCCAGCGCTTCAGGCAGGTGAAATGTCGAAGCAAATAGGCTCTGCAAATGAAGTCAACGCCGGCGTAAACTGAAAATGAGGAGAAAATAGTCCTCAGCATTAGGGTGTAATGGTACATTAAGGGAGCTAATGTGGATGAAATGGTACATTAAAGCACCCGCTTGAAAAACCAGAATGACTTTGCAGAAGAGAGGAGAAACGCCTCGGTTGCTTTTTTTGAATGAAAATGTTTGTGTTCCCTCCCTTCTCTCTCCCCCCCCCCGAAAATCTCTCGCCGCACCGACGGTGTGTTGTGTGTAGAGCAGCTTGCCCTCGTCTCCGGCACTCACTCCTTCGCCAGGACAGCCATCCAGCGTCAAGGGCCTCCCATCAGGCATCTCGTCCATCCCTGTCATGGCCCACCACCCGCACCACCACCACCACCACCCGCAGCTCCCTACAGCTTTCTGCCACAGTGGACAAGGTCAGAGACTCTCAGGACTAAGTCACAGAAGTCGGTGTTGGAGTTTTATCTGCGCCTCAAACCTGCGTTCAGCGGAGTGATTCAAGTTTATGCATTCATGTTATTTAAACAGACGGTTTTCTTCTCTCGCTTAAGCTAACATGGCGTAACATCCAGTCGCAGTTGGATTAGGACATTTTCTAATTTTTCTTCTCACTGGAAGCAGAGGGAGGAAACTACCAGGCTAACTCGTACCACGAGTCGTAGGATGGAGGCACAGATATAGCTCTTTGTAAAGCTACGATAGATTTTCTGCCTTTTGTTTCCGCTGATCTGAAATCTCCTCGTGTTTAGGTGAAGCGCACTACTCCCTCTTGGGCCAGCCTCTGCAGTACAAACCCTCCATCAGACCTCCGCTGATCCACGCCGCCCACATGGTGGCCAAACATCAGGTGGGATACACGCTGTGTTGCTCTTGAATCGAACGATACGATCACCTCTCTTACCTGTTTTGTTTTGAAGGGGGTTTTAAAATATAGATATTAAAGTCTCCTTTGGTTCATGATTAATTTAAGATTTCAGGTCTGCTAACCCCTCTCGTCCTTCCAAAAATAACCCCAGCCGTTATTCTCTGTCTCCTCAGGGTCCACTGGGGGTTTGGCGTAGCGGTCACGGGAGGAAGGCCAGCAGAAAACCTCTGTCTTCAGATCTCAGTGTAGGTCAAGCAGGTAAAAGGAAGTCCAGAGGGAGGCTTGAGTTAAGTGAACCTTGAGTTTAACGGCAGTCAGTTTTAGTTCCCCGACCGAAACGTGACCCTCCTTTTGCAGGAGGAGAGTAAATATTGTAAAATATGTGGGGGGACAGGCAGACAGGCAGGCAGGCGGGTTTTCAAGCCCCTGAGTGAAACATCAGGCTTTTTGATGTCAATCAGAACGCTCGTGTTCAGATTCATCCTGATAAACCGGGCTGCTGTGTCGCCTATTTAGCAGATTAACCGCAATAACGTCAGGTCTTTTTTTCTTATTGTGTCAAAATGTGCTTGCTGCGCTCCGTAGCTGTGAAGAAAAAGCGCCTGTTTGTGATTGTAAGCAGAATAAATCACAGACAGGGCAGAATTCACACCTGGCAGTGGAACCTGCAGCCCCGGCGGTATTGTGCAGCAGGAAATGTGCTGATTATTTCGAATATGGCGGCGGATTTTTTTTTCTTTTTTGCTCTCGCTGAATTTTTTTTTTTTGTCTGCATTATTCAGGTGCTCTTGTCAACAATCTCTCTAGTACAACCAACAAGGAAAGGGTGTGCAGCTGGATATGTTGTGCGTGAAGTGTCAGGGAAAAGTTCAACAATACGTCGCCGCCTCTAAAATGTCACACTTTCTGGGAATGAGAAAAGCACCTTTCTGGACCGACAATAATGCCTTTTTTTTAACGCAGCACATAAAGAATCTGTCGGAAAAAAAATTGAGCTACATTCTCTAATTTTTGACCGCCCTCCTGCCTGAAGCTCTAAAGCTGACAGCAGCAGTTTATTGAAGCCTCCCGATGGCACAGGTCTGAGTTTTCTCCTCACCCATGACAGTTGTTTTATTTACCCGGATGTTCACAGAGCTGTCTGTGTGTGTGTCTGCAGTAAGCAGCCAGAGCCTGGAAGTGACAGATCCTCCGCAGGGGATCGGCTGTACAGACTCCCACCCCCTCCTGGCAGAGCTGTGCAAAGGGGGCGAATTGATCCAGCGGCTGTCGGACCATCAGCCCGGGCTGCGCAACCCAACCAGAGACGCTCCCAGCGGACACCTGGCCCCATCATACTCCATCTTTGCCATTCTTCCCTCCAGATACAATAACCCCCAGGCCAACTTTAGGCGCCGAACTAGTACCAGACACAAAGGGGAGCTGTGTGACTCCAACAAGGCCAGCTCATAGCTGCTAAGATCTCGGCGCACCCAAGGAGCGCCACATGAACGCACATCGAAAACCACCTGCCTCTGCTGCCTCAGTCTGGACTGTCTCAGTTCAAGTCCCAGACTGTCCAAAACCGAAAAACGTATCCAACGGTGAAGAATGAATGTTTACTTTTATTTAGTTTTAGTTAATTTTATCGTTTTCCCAGACGACAGGTCTGCGCAGGGTGGAAAATTGAGTCCCAGTTTGGTTTAGTTTGTGAAATGCATCCCCCCTCCCCCGTTTCTATCCTAAAAACTAAGTTTGCTATTTAAAGTTCAAGTGTTTGGAGAGCTTTGGGATTCATTTGCCAGCTTTAAGTGACTCACTGTGGCTCTTTTCTTTTTTTGATAGCAGGTGTATGAATGTGACGGCATCACATCAGGCAAAAACATTACCGACATATTTGTGGTTCAAGAACGTTTCTGTGCCCCTCGAACCCGGGGCTCTCGTTTCATACCGTTGCATTTAAACTGAGCATTCATATCAAAGCAGTCGCTCTGTTTTATTTATCTCCCATCAATACTTCGTTCATGTGTGTCCTAACTTGATCTCAGTCACTGACTCATAAAACTGATTAGCATTTGTTTCCCGTTAGGTACACACCAGTGGGTTTCTCATCCATCATGGTCCCAACAATCACTCCCATCTGCACTTGTACAATGTGAGCCCATACAATAATAAACACTGAATAATAGATATACTACCTGAATTATTTAAAGTCACTTTTATACACAGTGAATGTTGGATTTGCACTGAAGTGATGAAGGAGGTGGAGATGTGATTGGAATCATACAGGGCCTGGTTTTTCTTTTATTAACCCCGTCGTTCCTGTTTGTTGCACTCTGCCAGGCCACTTTCTTTTATATTTAATTAAAATGTTTATATGCACAAGATAATGCAATTGAGTTTTTCATGCTTGGTTTTCTTTAAGAGGTGTCCTAACTTCTGACTTCAATAAATGTTTGCACCACATATGTTGACACAACTTATTCAAATCACAAAGGAGCATTTGTCCACGCTTTACGGTAATAATAAAAGGTTTCTTTAAAGCGAGATGATGCTCAACAGATGAGGCAACTCTTTGAAAAATGTTGCCATAAAGTTTATATCTCTGCCTTTTGGGCATTGCGGTGATATTTGCTGTACTAAGGAGCATATTTCCTGCTGCATAATGAGCTTTTCTCTCATTGAGTGAAACATGGAGAAACAGCGACGTCTAGTGGACAAACGTTGTCATTACAGCGTCTCTATCATGGTTTCCAGGCGGAATAGAAAGTGAAACTGTAAACAAAACCAACGATTTGCTTGTACAATAATGGCGGGGGGTTGCCGTGTGCTTGATAAACGTCCGTCCGATATGATTTTAGCTTTTTAAGGAACTTTCCAGACTTCTGAGTCTTTTATCCGGTATGCAGACCGACACATTCGACCAAAGTAGGACGGTGGTCGTGTCCGGTGTGCCCGACGTCTTATCCTCCAGCAGAATGATAGACAAATTGACAATTCACTTCCAGAGGCGAAAACGGAGCGACGGAGGGGACGTCGAGGCGGTTCAGTACCCGACCAACATGCACGGAGTGGCCTTCGTCACATTTGACGAACCTGAAGGTAAACAAACAAGGAGCTAGTAGCTGTAAGCTACTGTTAAAACAAAGTACTAGAGTTTGTCTTGTTTTATAGCCAGATTTGACCAGGTTGATAGTGAATTCGACAAAAATAAGCTTGTATGTATAGTCTCAAAGGTCAACTTCCTCACCCAGTAGTTTATATGTCTTGTAAACCTTAACAGCTAAGCTCTTGTCTTTGCAAAATAGCCTTTCTAATTTTCCATTCTGTCTAAATTTAGACCCTCAGCCTAACAGGGGTGTCTCCAGGCTTTTTGGAAAGAGGTGCCCCGCCCAATTTGAGTGCTAGTTTACTGTGTAGAAGTAGCAAGATGACAAGCATTCAACCTCCCTGTTTTCAGTACCCGCCTTTACTAGTATGAATTATGCATCACACAGCAGTAATATTAAATTTATAATCTTAAATTCATAATTTAGGCACTTACAAAGAGGGGTGGACTCTGCATTCCAAAGAAAATCAAGAGCAACCATTAAACAAATTAAGAATAGACAATGCGACGTTACATGAAGCCAAAATACAGTTTCCCTAGATGCTTTTGTAATGCACCAGTGCAGCTCAAGGCATGCAAGAAAAATTTGAGGCTCAAACTGACAGCTTATCTTATCACAAGGCTTGAAGGGATATTCTGTAAAATTACTTTAGGGTCAAACACACTGTAACACAAAGTTAGACACCCCGTCGAGAGATGAATGTTGCTGACTGCTTGCTTCTCTAGTTATACCAACTTTAGTAACGGCCGCAGGATAGCAATACAGAGAGCCACGCGCTCAACCAAGAAGTCACTCTATAGCCACAAATAATGCTCAGAACAGCACCTAACTTCATCAACAGTACATTTAGGGTCCCAGCCATAGCACTAGCCACCAAACATCTTTTTAGCTTTGCCTAATTTCTTTAGCAGAGAGACTAAACACAACTCACCTACTCTCTTCCAGCAGCCGCTTTTTTGTAGAGAGACCTCTGGGTGAGTCCATCAACTGCAGCGGAGTGACGCAGCTCAAGGAAGAACATTTATGATCATTACTCTATTATTTCCTTGAAGTAATAATCACCATATTAATCATTTTGCACTGCAGACACTGTAGTTCTTCTGCCTTAGCGTTTCGGTCTGATTGCATTTCCATAAAGAAATGATCATAAATGTTCTTCCTTGAGCTGTGTCACCCCGCTGCAGTCAATGGACTCACCTGGAAATCTCCGTACAAACAAGCAGCTGCTGGAAGAGAGTGGTTGAGTACAGTTTAGTCTCTTTGCTAAAGAAATTTAGGCAAAGTTAAAAAGATGTTTGGTGGCTAGTACTATGACTGGGACCCTATATGTACTGTTGATGAAGTTAGGTGCTGTTCTGAGCATTATTTGTGGCTATAGAGTGGCCTTTTGGTTGAGCGTGTGGCTCTCTGTATTGCTATCTGCGGTCGTTACTAAAGTTACTAAACATTCATCTCTCGGCGGGGGTGTCTAACTCTGTGTTATGGTGTGTTTGACCCCAAATCAATTTTACGCTGGAATATCCCTTTAAAATCTTTTGGTTATAATCATGGATTGTATTGCGAAAAGATTATCTTTGATCATTATTACTTAATCTGTTGTCCAGGAAGTGCACATGTCTGCAACTAAAGTCATAAATCAAGAAATGGAATTTTTACAAACTTAAATTCAGCAACAGATGGAGTATTTCCTTCCCAGATGGTCTGAAGAGTCCTTCTGGAAATACATCAAAAAGAATTAAATGTTGTTGAAGGAGCCATTTGGGTTTTTTAAAGATCTCAGGGAATCTCTTTAGAGTATTTGAAGCTGCTCAGCCTGACTTAAAAGTGAGGTTTGAAGACCTTATCAGACATAAAAACACATGAAAGCCTCAACTGTACTCTGTGTATATCTGTGGGCTTTATTCAACATATCTCCTTTGTGCAATAATTGGTTCCTATGGGAATAAATTATATTTTCTATGATGGTAACGTATATTAAGTGAACTATAATCAAACATTTATTTCTGCTAAGCACTGCCTGGATGGATGAATGCATGCCGAGCTGATGATGATTAAATTTGTCAACACTAGATTGGTTTGAAATGAGTGGTGCCCGGCGCTGTGCGCTGTCAGTGACAGGAAAATAACAAGCGTCATTACAGCGGTGAGAAAAACAGTGTGGTGCTCTTTGCAGATGCGGAGAGAGTGGTGCGTAAGGAGGAACACATCATGATCGATGACGAGTTTCCTGCGGACTACCTTCTCACTGTGTTTCCCTTCACCACAGATGTAAGTTTGAACATCACAAAATATTGACCATCAGATATAAAACCTGTTTTTGTTCATCTTCTCTTCATGATTTGGGCGTTAAGAGTTGATCGAAAGTCTTTTTTGTCTATTTATTGCAGGTGTTTTTGTACGTTCCCAAAGCTACGGTTGATCTCTCTGTGTTTGGAAGCGATCAAGCGTCCCTTATCCAGAGTCTACAATCAGCTCATAGATCGCTACGTTTCCGGCCTTTACTTCACAAGAGAAAAGCCACAATCGAGGGTCCTTTCGCTGCTGTCCAAGCCCTGAGAAATGACCTCATCCGCAGGGCCAGCCAGCTTAAATCCACTGACTCAGCCCGAACCGCTCCTGACAAAATAAGAGAAACTCCTCTTAATCCGAGGGTAATATCTCACCCAGAGTTTGTCGACTCTGTAAGCCGCAGCCGCTCAAAAGCTAAGCTGGAACCAGCGAACAGCTTATCAACAGGGCTGCAGACCACAGGTGAGGCAACTGAAGTCGAAAGCTCGCTCTTAAATGCTGAAACTCTGAATGCCTCCTGGAGTCCGGAAGTTCAGGAGAGGGGCTGTGCTGAAGGGGGCTTTGGCGACACAGACAGTGATGAAGTAGATCAAGAGCAAAACGGGGTGGAAATTTCGTCAGAGTTTAGAAACAAGCAAAGGTTGAAGGAGGGGAGGAAGAGTCCGTCTCTGTCGGGTATGTTCCTGCAGAAAGAGGCAGCTAAATTAAAACAAAAACACACCGCAGACACAGACTGGACTTCAGCGAGAAAGACCCAAAAAGAGACCCACCTGGACTACAAATTAAGTAACACCCGGTCTCCAGAGGAATCAGATCAGAGAGTCTCACCTCACCTGTCCCACAACATGCTTAGAGACGTTTCAAAACCACCTGAAAGAAACACAGAAGAGCATCTGGAAGAAAACTGCACCTGGGTCGACTTGAACATGTTTCTATACATGAAAAAATTTGCAAAGGACGAGTTTGATAAATGCTTAAGAGGACTTGAAGCGTCTTTCGAGACTGTTGAAGGATCGGACCTTGTGAAGGTAATCCTGACTGAGAAGCAGACCTCTGAGGAGACCTCAGGGATCCAGCGGGGCTTGGATGACCTTCAGTTTTTGGTACAAGCTTGGACGTTGACTTTAAGAGTCCATGAGATCGACTTAAAGGACGAGGGAGACCTTAACAAACAGGAGGTCATGCAGATCTGTGATGATGTGAATTTCCTGTTTGGTGACGTTTTGTATACGTTTGAGGGCTCTCGTATTAAAGCTGTCGGTCCGTCAGCGGCCAGTTATCTATTTACAAGATTCGTTCAGAGGAGAATTGCTGAACTCGAAGACAAATCCTTAGGAAAGTGAAAGAGCAAAAGTGACTGAAATACTATCAATGACCACATGGTGGTGCAGTCTGTCTAGATGTTGCCTTAACACTGTTAGTTGATGTCATTTATACAAATGTCAGTGTTAGAACAGTTACAGTCACTGGGTTACATTCACATAATGAAATAATAACATAATTATAGTATGTGCCTCTGGTACTCAAAAATGTGGCTTACTGCACATATTAGATAATGAAAAGAAAGGAATTTGACATCTGTAAACTTTGCTCTCTCTATACGCACAATTAACATGAAATGGTACAAAAAAATTAAAGAAAATTTCGTCTTCTCTTCTTGTTCCTGTAAAATTTCCCTTTTTGTTTGTGCGTCTTTTAAAATGAAGCCTTAAAACAGCATCTGAAAAAATACCCTCACGTTTTTTTAAGAAAAACAAAACATCTCTATTGATTTAGGTAGGATTCATAAAGTTATCTCAGTATGTTTCATTGCATTTGTTTGATTCTCGCCATTAAAAGTTAGTTGTTTGAATTAAAACAGGAATTATTCTCAATAGATGATGCATTTGAGATTTTTTGTTGCTGTGTAAACATGTAGAGGACAAGATAAGCAGACTTGTGTTATTGATACAAAAGAAAAGTTCCTTATTGGAGCAACCACCTGTATTTTGGTGTCAAATCTTTTTCCTCTGTCATTTCGTTCCCTATAAACTGACATTTTTCGTCTGTTAATTTTGTCTGTATCTGGCCTTGCCTGGCTGTGTCACACTTCACCTGTAATTATAATATTCGACAGTAGGGGGCAGTGTGACACTTTCTCCATTAAGGCTGACAGTTTAAAAATAGTGACAATGCAGCTGCCATGGCCAATGCTATAATGGAGGCTGGGTTTGGCAGGCGGGGTGCAGATTGGCAGACAAATGATGTCAGTTGGACGTCCCATTATACACCCTCTCCCCTCCACACACACACACACACACACACACATAAACACACATTCAGTGTCTTGCACCTTTTCCAAGGGAAATACTGGTCTTTGCATGTGGGTGTGAAAATTTTCTGTAAAAATCATGTTGTGTGGATTTTTTTTTCCCTTCTTTTTGTCTGCGATTATTCAAATGAGCTTGCTCCACAGCCTCCATAATTGATTCATTATGTAAAAATAAGCCACACTTCCATAATGAACACACACACAAACATAGACAATCACTCATATCCCAGACATACACACACACACAAGTGCGCACACACACAGACAGACACTGGGTTGTTACCATAGGAACATAGTGGAAGAGGTTGCCGAGCTGCAGAGCTGGGCACCGTTAGAAAAAGCTTTCGAATACAATGAAAACATCCAGGAGGAGAGAGGAATTAGGTTTTTAGAAGAGGAACCCTTCGTTAAAGATGTGTAGAGGAGCGAGCGCCTCCTCTTAACACCCAGACCTCCTCTGCCCCCCTGATAAAACATCTTCTCAATTACCCGTTATTTGGGAGGGGGCTGGGGTGATTGAAGTATCAAAGGAAGAGGGGTCAACAAGCAGAAAGCATGAATTATTTTCCCTGAAATGGTCCTGATACTGGTCCTCTGTTACATCCCTTTTCACGTCTCCTCCTCATTTTGCATAAAGTATAATTAGGTTATTGTGCTTTTGAATAAATTAAGCGTGGATGACTTTCAGGATGGAGGTCAAAAACAGCAGCAGGCCAGAAAGAGAAGCTGCAGGGACAAGGAAGAATTAGCACGAGTATTTACATTATATTAGCCTATGTAAGAATTTGACGTTTTTGTCGAGCGCATCAAAAAACTAAGAAATATCTGCACAACAGAGGGGAAAAAACACCACAAAGTAACAATAAATGAGTTGAGAGAGTTTGGAAATTTTCCCAGAAACAAACAAAACTTCTTCCTGTATGCTGAAAAGGACTTCAAAAGTTTTTAAAAAACTAAGAACTACTAAAAAAATGACAACAAAAACACAAAAAAGTAGATTAGACAACCAAAAAAATCAGGAAAAAACATTTAAGATGAAAAATGACCTTAAAGGGATATTCCTGCATAAAATTAATTTAGGGTCAAACACACCATAACACAGAGTTAGACACCCCCTCGAGAGATGAATGTTGCCGACTGCTACATTCATCTCAAATTATACCAATTTAAGTAGCAATACAGAGAGACACGCACTCAACCAAAACGCCACTCTATAGCCACAAATAATGCTCCGAACAGCACCTAACTTCATCAACAGTACATATAGGGTCCTAGCCATAGTACTAGCCACCAAACATCTTTTTAACTTGGCCTGATTTCTTTAGCAAACTCAACTCACCCACTCTCTTCTAGCAGCCACTTGTTTGTATGGAGAACTTGGGCGAGTCCATCAACTGCAGCGGGGTGTCGCAGCTCAAGGAAGAACATTTATGATCATTACTTTATCATTTCCATGAAGTAATAATCATCAAATTAATCAATTTGCACTGCATGGACTCACCCAAGGTCTCCAAACAAACAAGCAGCTGCTGGAAGAGAGTGGGTGAGTTGTGTTTAGTCTCTTCGCTTAAGAAATCAGGCAAAGTTAAAAAGATGTTTGGTGGCTAGTACTATGGCTAGGACCCTTTATGTACTGTTGATGAAGTTAGGTGCTGTTCTGAGCATTATTTGTGGCTATAGAGTGGCTTTTTGGTTGAACACGTGGCTCTCTGTATTGCTACTTAAATTGGGATAACTAGAGAAGCAAGCGGTCGGCAACATTCATCTCTCAAGGGGGCGTCTAACTCTGTGTTACAGTGTGTTTGACCCTAGCTTAATTTTACGCCGGAATATCCCTTTAAGAAAAACAGTTAATAGGTCTCAGTATCAGCCCTGACCATCTCCCCTGTTTGTAAGAGTGCACCCTGGTCTGGTCATGTCCAGGCACATTCGTCTTAAAAGGTCAGAGGTCACCAGACGAGCAGCAAGCCTCTGCATTTTTCCAGCGCTGAGAGATGAGGTAGCTGGTGATGAATTGTTTTCTCCGGGCCGTGCCTGTGTGTGCGAGCACGTTAGCGGTCACAAATTGCGTCTTAATGATTCTCTTTACAGATCATCACCTCGCCTGGGCGGGCGGAGGGAGGGAGGGAGGCGGGGTAGCTGGGGTGTGAGCTGCACCCCCCCCTGCTGCTCTGCTCTGGTCTGAATGTTGTTTGGGTGCAAGAGAGTCAAGATGGAAGAGCTCTGGAGAGGAAATCGGGGGCAACAGAGCAGGGAAATGTTTGTGTGTTTGCTGTGTGAAAGGATGAATGACATTTAATTGGTCTCATAAATATATACACAGAATCCCATAATGCAGTGACTCTGAAGGCCGTCTTGCAGAACAGGTACATGCTTTAGGAAAATAAAGGGAATTATGGGAAATTAAACCAAAATAATGAGCAGAGTTCAAAGATTATTGTTACTCTCGTTTTATTGATTGCACTTTATTATACCCGCCGTCTAAGAAGTAATTACAGTAAATTCACTTTGGTTTCAGCTCCTGGTTGTACGCCACACTGTATATCAAGTGTGATGTTTCCCTGTTTTCTCACATTACAGTCCACCATCTGTACGACTGCGCTTACGAGCTGCTTCAGGAAGTGTCGGTGTAATTATCAGTCTTTCCTCTGATCATTTTAAAAAGCTCAAAGTCAGCGGGGTGTAGGGAAGAAACGTGATTGCCTGTTAAACCGCCACACCGCCGGCCGCAGCGTTGAACACACGGCTGACACATGTGGACCCCCGTGTATTCAGAACTTTTGCACTCGGGGTTAAAACACAGACGGCAGTGGACACTCGAGCTTAAAGTTTGATTTTCAGTGATTTTCTGTTACTCAAACTGTGTTTTATTTCCCCTTTATGTCTTTTTCATTCATTAAAATGCTTCACAGTCATGTAAAGAAATGCTGGAGTGCAAAACAAACAGAGCCTTTAAAGGGATATTCCGGAGTAAAATTAATAAAGGGGCCAAACACACCATAACACAGAGTTAGACACCCCCTCAAGAGATGAATGTTGCCGACTGCTTGCTTCTCTAGTTCTACCAACTTTAGTAACGACCGCACGATAGCAATACACATCGGTCAATGGAACCATACACAAACCTCAACCAAAACACCACTCTATAGCCACAAATAATGCTCAGAACAGCACCTAACTTCATCAACAGTATGATGTTTGGTGGCTAGTACTATGGCTAGAACCCTCTATGTACTGTTGATGAAGTTAGGTGCTGTTCTGAGCATTTTGTGTGGCTATAGAGTGGCGTTTTAGTTGAGGTTTGTGTGTAGTTCTATAGACCGCTGTGTATTGCTATCGTTCGGTCAATACTAAAGTTGGTATAACTAGAGAAGCAAGCGGTCGGCAACATTCATCTCTCCAGGGGGTGTCTAACTCGATGTTGTGGTATGTTTGACCCTTCATTTCATGCTGGAATATCCCTTTAAAGCTCCTGTAAGCAACTTTAGGATTATGTAGACCTTGACGCTCCCTGTGGCCAAGGCAGTCATTGCTTACATTGCACAATAAATCTCATCTGGCTGACTTTGGACAGCCATTATGAATATCTTATGAGGAAATTGTAAAAAAAAAAAAAAAAATTGGCGCCATAAAAAAAAAAAACAACTTATAGGAGCTTTAACACTTAGAACTCTGCTAGATCGCCGGCGATTCCACGTGACACCATTAATATTTTTTACAGTTTCTCAGGAACAACACCGTGTACCTCTATGGGATGAAAAGCGTTCAAAAGCTTACCCTTTTGGAGATCTATCAAGGGTTTCCAGGCATTTCTACACCTGCCACAAGGTTTAGAATCCAGCCACAAAAATAGGTGTTTGATCAGAGACGTTTGATGGTAAATCCGCAGTGATATACCAGTGAAAACATGATTATTTATCATATTGTTTTGAAAAAAATATGATCGCTAAAAGTCGCTAATGTCTTCCGGGTTTTGCAAGCTGTTTTGATGACATCTTTTTCAGTCAAACTTTCGACCAATTGCATGGTCTCCTATTCTTCCTCTATTGTTCTCTTGACGGTAGTGTCCAATAAGAGGCAACCAAAGATCAACAAGAGACAAGAAAGTTTCCCGCTTGTCTGCAAAATAAGAAATAATGGTCCTCAATGCTTGGAAACAAGCAAAGAAGAGATTATGAGCAGTATGATGTGGCTCTCTGTCTCATCCCAGACAGGAACTGCTTCAAGGAGTGGCATTAACAACTGGAAATAGCAAAAAACGCCTGGAAGAATTAGTGTAAATATGTAAATAGTTTCTGTTGTGTGTTTGTTCCAATCCCAATATTTCTTCTCCTGATAGCCAAGACTTAACAGAATGATGTGCAGGTGAGAAAAGGCTTGGTCATTGTAGATTTATGTGTTTTTTGAGCAAAGTACAGTTGGTATCAATTTCCGCTTTTGTTTTTTGGTTGACTTTGATGGTTCTGAATCTACAGTCACATTCATTTACCATAATTTTTGCATCCATAAACTGACAGCTGAGGTTGTCCTGAAAAAAAGATGAGTATATATTTGCTGTGCAGAAGCAAAATAGCAAAATATAGCTGGGAGTTCTAAGGGTTAATGTCAACGGCTACTGTGCTACACAGACATTACATGAAGGAGAGTTCACAGTATAAGAACACAGCTAAGGATTTTGTTCCAGGCAGAACTTGTTGTCGCAACCGATTCAGTTTTGGCAGCTGCTCCATAAAAAAAAAAAAAAAAGTGTTATGATTGGTGGCGCTGCCTTGTGGGAGAGGGTCTCAATTTCAGCCCCCATTCTCTCGGCACCATTAGCTGACAAAAAGACCAGAGGCCAGAGAGAGAGGCACATTTCTCAGGTGGTATGGAGTGTCAGGAGATGATTTGTGGGTGTCTGGATTATTTGAGGCACTCGGTCTTGTTTGAAACTGTAAATGGATGTATATTCTGTCTGCTGTCAAACAGGCTGATGATGAAGCAGGACGCTGTGCAGACTGAGCTCATGTAATTGGCATGATAAATCAGTGACACGCTGTAAAGGACAGCAGTGATATTGATACCTTTGTCATTTTAGTACCTATCACAGCTAACTCCAGAAATCCCGTTCCCTTGGCGATGCTGAGATTTACATAATTATACCGCTAAAATGAATCCCTGTGCGATGAATCCCTCTGACTTCTTTTTTTTTGTTCGGTGTGTCTGGACAAAATGGTAAAACGAGGAAGGACAGATGGAGAGGAAAGAGGCGACAGCATGTGAGGAAAGGTTATGAATACATCAGTGGCCTACTGAGCCAACAGGATGTGGCAGCATGGGTGTGTTTGCACATGCAGGTGTGTGTGTATGTGAGATGAACGCATTTGTATGCAGTCTGCGTCTCAAATCAGCCGCCTGGTGAAGACGAATCGCTCTGTCTTGATGCCAAATGTTAATGCTGAGACAAAGGACTGAGATTGATCCAAATCAACCAGAGAGGGTGAATTTCGTGTAAACCGGCTTAAACTGGACAATCAAACTTTAACAGAAGATTCAGTCTGGCTTCCTTTTGTGGCGTAAATCTTCAAAATTGTATTTTCACTTTTTGTATCTTCAGTCTGAAACATGATTTGAATGCATTCTGCTTTAATCGTATTTTTCAGCTGAAGTTGTGTTGCTATTGATTTACCAAGACCTCTCCACCTCTTGTAAAAATGAGTGTTTTATTGGCATCAGTCTATCTGCACAAAGGAAACATCTTTTCATTAATAGTAAAAGCACTTAGACGCAACGTCTCCTCATCCCCTACCCATGATAAAAACCAAACTCCTTATAGGCTTGCCATTTCCATGCTACCTAACCCTGAAGAGAGCGAACCCCACACTGATTTGATTATCTCGACTTGAGTCTTTAAAGTCTCCTGGAAATGTCAGCGAAATCATCAAAGCAGCCGCCCCCTTCATAAAGCTCTGATGAAAGGCATTCTCAGCATACTGCTCCCTCTATATTGTTAGCTCACGGGGAAAGTGTCTACATCTGCACAACATTATTGGTTTTATGGGACTTATATAAGTGGAGACAGACCCAAAGCAGGGTTGGACAAGTGACATTTCCCTCCGTCAGCCACGCCCTTGGCCCACCAACTTTCATGGACAACTGTGTCAAATGCAGTCTGTGTGAAATCAGTTTTTGTTTGCCTGGGCTCGCCTCCCCCACAGTTTAATGCACTTTCTCTGTAGATTATCACCTTTGTATGATAACAAGCATCTCTATCTTTCCATGCCTATAACTGAAAAACAATAACTCTTATGCTTTTTCTTGTTTCTTCCAAGCAATCCCTGATTTTACTTATTTGCCAAACTTGTAACCTTGATATCTTAAAATGAGCATGTTACAAAAATATTCACTCCCTGTGCAGTGTGTGGCATGATAAAAATAAGCTTTTCAGGCCTAAACAAAACACTTTTTGAATGGGGTTTATTTGTGCTGTAAAGATTGGCTATTTCTGAATGCATGTGAATGTAGTTTCCAGTGCTTTTGAAGCCAGCCCCTAGTGGACACTTAAGGAACTGCAGTTTTAAAGACTCACTTTGATGAAAATCCTGTTTTTCTTGTTGTCTACATGTTCATATGGCATTTTTCTGATACTAGAGGACATATCATGAGAAAAAGAAGTGTGAGTATTTCTGCATTCAAATCGCTTTGAATCTCTGTCAGACCCAAATGGCAGGTTCAGATACAGTGAGCTTTCCTATGTAACCAATTCAAGCTCCGCCCCTGGAGCCCCTGGAGGACGATCGCAGAACAAGTGATTGCGTTAGCGGACTGCAATGCTAGTAAGAAAGCTAATTATGATATTAGCTTTAATCGTGTCCCTAAAGACATTAGTGTCTGAGAGCTGAAAAGCCTCTATGTTACCTGCCACCTCTACTACGTCAGCAATGTTAGGCTGCAAGCTAATGTGAAGACGAGTGTGCAGAGCAGCGCTGTCTCCGCCCACGACTCAGAGGTGAATTGCTAATGAGCTACTGGAGCTCTGCCGAAGAAAAGCTCTAAAAAATGACACAGGTAATGCGATTTTTTAAAGTGGTAAATGAAAACAATCACAGTGGGACTTAAAGCACTTTTCTTCAGACCAAAGTTTGCCTCATCCTGCTGCTTTTTTTTTTACCCATTTACAGAGTTTATCTTGTATCTTATACTGAAATAATGACCAAAAATCAGATATAATGATTGTTAAAGTCCTAAATCGACATGCATGTGTGCTGTCCAAAAATCAAAAAAGACCACAAGGAGACATATCAGAACGAATTAAAGAATCTCCATCCCTCGACCTCACAAACAAAACATGGCTGATTTGTAATCCCCCCTAAAGCATGCTGGGAATTGATTAAAGCGTTCCTTATAGACTAAACGCTGCTGGCAGCAGCTGAGCAGGTGCAGAATACATTTTCATTAAAGCTGGCAGGCAATCAGAGACTCTAAATTAAGTTTAAAAATTAAATAGATCAAATTACATGTGTTATCAAACTGTCCCGCACACACGCACGGACATTTTTTACTTCACGCATGCCGCTTTTCTTTATTAGGCGTATATTTTATCTCACAAGCGCCGTCATTTTTCTTACCAACAATGCAGTTTTTTGTCCCACACACCCCTATTCAGCTTTACATGAAAAGGTGTATGATTTATGACCTCAACAGCCCCTCATATTAATCTCTCCTGACACATAATCTTATTAAAACAATTACCATTCAATGCAAATTGAAACTACAGTGTGTTCATGTGCAACCTTGATTTTACGGCTTGAATTATACACACCTCTAACAACTCTCACCGCACCCGCCCAGCTCACAGCAGGGGGCTCAGACCTCAGGCCACTTCAGTAGATCAAAGAAGTGCTGGTATGAAGAACCGCCCCCCCCAACCTCCACCTCCATCTCTGAAAAAATCCCTGCAACACTGCCCCAGTGGCTCAAAGTAACCCCAAAACACACCATGAGCTTAAAGTGCAGTTTTCCCTGGAAGACCGAGCCGTAAGAGGGTTAGCATGCCTCTGTTTTTTTTTTTTATCCACGGATTTAAATTTTGTCTAGAAGTCCAATATGTGTTCGCAGGATTCCCATACATCCATCACTCACAGATGCTGAAACAATCCCACCTCCTCTCTTCCTCCCACACCCACCCATCCCCCCTCCTCTCTCATCACTTTGGACAGCGTGAAGCTTTGGCTTAGCTCGCCGCATCCTTCGCCATGTCTGGTGCTGATTTCCAGGCCACGGTGCCGAGGCTTGCCAGTGGGTGGGGGGTTGCAGGCTGAGCGATGGAAGAGCTCCAAAGACAGCATGAGCATCACCACAGTGCTGACAAAGAGGAGACGACTCGGAGCTATTAGAGATCTGCAACGCTTTTATCTGACTGTGTGGGGCACCGCAGCGAGGGATGACAGTGACTCTCAAGTGTGTGCTTTATCGCTGCTTTTGAATTTATGATGGTAATCTTATGATAGCTCCATGCCTTAAATTCCTCTGGATTGCTGATGCAGACTTGGACCAACTACAACACATGCATCAGGCTCACCTCTGTTGCACTTCTGTAAGTCAGCCTTGAGTGAAAACATCTTGTTTTGCCGATGCGCAAGTGCAAAAACAAAAAAAAACTGCAGTTCCTCATGTGTCCACTTGAGGTTTGCTCCAGAAGCCATGAAAGGGAAAACTTCCCCTACAATAGGGTGACCATACGTCCTCTTGGACATGTCCTCTTTTTGTGGGGCATGTCCGGGCTTGTCCAGGGAGGTTTATAAAATTCTTCAAATGTCCGCTGTTTTTGTACGGAAGTTCTGAGTTTGTGTCACGTGGACCGACTGAGTTAAAAGCACGTGAAAGACACTCGATCCGACCCCCCAAAACTCTCAAAATTAATGTCATGCAACTCCGTGACTCTGCGTAGTCGTGTCCTCCTCGTCGTCGAAGTCAGAAGAAACTCTATCCAGACTGAAAATTGGCAGTGTGAGCTGGTGAATCGGAGCTGTTTTGATTCTCCAACAGGTGATGCCACTCAGACTATTTCCATGAACTTTACAGTCAGTCTACTAAATGGGAGCCTGACACTGAAACAGCTTAGATGTAATTCACCCGCAATCAATTTCACTTTTCACACCTGCTATTTCTCTCCTCTTACAAGTTGGAATGTCTGCAATGTGAAGGACGAATGTAAAAACCGAGATGAAGCTTTGTGTTGCCATCACCATGGTGCTTGAGTCAACATTTACAAATCCAGTCTGTCTGTGGAAAGAGGCGAAGTGATTTGTCAGACACTTAACAGTTAACAAGACACAGTGTACTTCAACACATCAATACCCTGCAGAGGCTTTCCAATCTCCCAGCAGCCATGTCTGGCACTTCCATATAGGTCTGATAGAGAGCTAGCACATATATGGGCCACAGGGATGGCCTGGTTGTTCGCTATTTTTGGTCAGGAGGACTACACATTTCTGACTGGATGTAGAGAGCTTATTTGAAGTCCAATACAGCTGACATACAGTTTGATTTTAACAACTTTTAACTTTGCAAAAAAGATGTCAGAAACTTTTATTTCAACTGCAGTTTCTGTGCAGACTGAGCATTAAGAAAAAAGTTACTGAGATAGCTTCAGTGTTTTTTGTTATTTCAGGCTGAATCATGCAAACAGTTCATGCATGCTTCAAACTTTATGCTCCATTTATGTGTTCACTAAGAGTTTTTATCCATCAGTTTGCAGCTCTGTGCAGTTTGCTCTCGATTTGTGAAGAAAGAGCTGTTAGCATCTCTTCTCTCTTCTGCACAGAGCTGCGCTGTGCACTCTCTTCCTGACAACTGTAATACTTGTTCACATACAGAGAAAGCGCTGAACAGAGAGGACACTGTTTTTTTTTTTTAGCTGGTACGTTGTAGAGCAGATTCATGATGGATGTGATACAAATTTCACATTCAGCTTACTTCTTGGAGCAAGCTAGCAAACAGCAGTTGTTGTTGTTGTTGTCGTTGAAAGACAAGTTCATTAAGAATAAGAATAAGAATAACTTTATTGGTCCCTGAAAGGAAATTCAATTGTCTGTCGTAATGTCATCATGACCCTGACCTCCGATTTCCACCGCATCCGGAACAGCTAGGAAAAGGCCCTATCCGCCGATCGTAACCATTCAAGTTAATGCGTTAATTTCCACCGACTTCTTTCCGTTCCGCTGCGGATCGCCAGACGCCAGAGCATGCTGGATAAATTCAGCACAGATTAACCCATGCTGGAAAGGAATTTGGGCACAGACACAAAATAAAACATCTGGCTTCCTTTCAAAATAAAACATTCCCTGTTTCAGGTGGATTTTATTTCACACCATGCAAAAGTGGGCGTGGACGAACAAGTGAAAGGTTTATAGACAGCATTTCAATCCAATGACACTATGAATGAGAGGATGCTGATTTTAGAAGTCTAGAAGTAGATTTCCTCCTCTGGAAGGACACAATCTACTGCTCATACGGTTATGTGGCTGTCTTTATGGAGAAAACTCGTTATCGCGCGATTGCATGTGAATCTGCGGGTTCTTGTGAGTTCTCGCAATTCCCACTGTCCATAATCTGCCACAAAATTTGCCTCACAAACTGATCCAGTAGGAATTGGCGGATGGCGAAAAATTGCTGCCGTTCCGAATGCGGTGGAAATTCAGGGTTATACTTCCATTTATATGTGGTGATGACCTCTAGTGGCCAGACTAGCTATTGCAGGAACCCTCAAGGACACACCCTGTCACCTAAGAGCCGTTGAAGAAGACACTGCCCTGTTATGTCAACATTAACATCAGTCAAAGGTGATTAATATTTCATAGCTTTT